ACTCCAGGTATCTGTCCATTGTCCAATTTATTAGTTTCGCTTATAATGGTTTCATTGTGGGCAATCTGTTCACAATCTTCTATCATGAACGGATTTACTTGAGCCATATTTAAAGTTCGTTTACATCAAAAAATGCAAATGTAAAATGCTAATTGAAATATAAATATAAGTGTACGCTTATTCAAATTAGGTGGCACCTATATGCAACCAACACAGCTGTCCCATTCAACTCAATGCAAATCAACTCAATTCAAATCAATTCGATTCAACTCAACTTACTTGAACTCCAACTGAGTAAACTCTGAGATGTTGACCAGATGTTGTCGCTTCACGTGCTTTGGACTCTTCAATTTGCATATGTGCAGGTTTTATATCAATGAAACGAAGTGTTACGTAGCCAACACGTGTGAGCAGTTTTTGAATGCCCATGCTATGAATGGATTATTATTCAATAGGATGGGAGTAGGGGGAAAATTACAGATAGTATGTGTATGTGTATGTGTATGTGTATGTGTATATGTGACTGCAAGCTGATTACGTTGCCATATTCTCTGCCTGTAATCTGCTCGAATTATATGACGCACCTAATATACATTACATTACATTACATACTTCTAACAGATAACAATTAATCATACGCAATGTGGTAACACCGTTGATGGAAGGGCTTTTACAAGTGTTTATATATAAAAATGCACACACATATGCTTACTGCTTATGCCTCTATAGAGGGAACACACTGTATTCTGTAATTCCACATGTCTAATTTATGCAATTTAAAATAATAATAATTCAAGAACTCAAATTAAAAGTATCGCGCGCGTCGTTCATAAATTTACGCGTTCAGAGAACTGCAATCCCAAGCGTTTAATCATAGCCTGGGAACTATGCGCTTATACCACATATACATATGCACATCTGTCTGTGCATACATATATAAATAGACGACTTCTAAGCTTTGGCTTAATCACAATAAATGGAAATAAATCGAAATTAGCAGACGGTACACATTTGGCTCACGTTTTGCAAATTAACCGTCAGCCGGCCGACGTCGCCGTTCCTGCGCTTAAACAGATAGCTTAGCAAATAGCAAGACGACAATTGTTCGAGACTATTGAGCTTAATATATATATATATATATATATATACAAAAATAAATATAGATTCTTTAATTAGCACTCGAAACAATGGCTTTTTTCTTATAAATAAAAATAAATATATAATTAACAAATCATGGCCTTTGTCTCGTAACGCTTTAACGTGTTGTTATACCAGAAAATTAGAAATTGCTTTATCGGATGGAGTAAGAGGGTATTTTGTCGATGCCGATCATTTGTAATCTAATCGGTGCAGGTGTTTAATGTTTAATCGGATGCCAACTGAGTCTGGATTAATTGTGTTTCACCTTTTGTTTTTTGTTTAACACCCGTATTTACGTGTCAAAAATAATCAAATCTCTTCACTTTATTATTAGCACAAGAGTATATATAATAATAAATAATGTTAAAATCTTATCGCTGGTTATAACTTGTATACAGTATTGTATATAATTAAATTAGTTATTGATTTTCTTGATGCTGTTCCTTTGTTAAAAATTTGTTTTTAAAAATATTTAATCAAAAATGATGTAATTGGCGGCTAAGCTTGTTAAGAGTTTTTCTTTGCATTTGCGGGACTTTTTTTAATTTCTGGTATTTTTTTAAATTTCTAAAATCCCATTATCCAGATGAATCTCGACCTAGAAATTCCCAAATCCTCTATGCAGACAAACCATCTGCCAAACATTTGCCATTAGCAATACGCATAACAAATCCATTAGCGTATCTGCAACAACTGTAGCTGCATAAGAAACAGAAACACATTCACATAAATGGATATATATATATATATATATATTTAATTATGTATGGGAGATTCAACGGCGGACAATCAAGCAAATAAAATTAAGTGCATTTGTATGCGTGAGAGCGTTTGTCAGTCAATTAAAGTTGAAAAGATAATTATACAAATTGTGTAGTCATCGCAAAAGTTCCGCATCTAAAATCGAGACTAAATTATGTGCCAGTTGAGTTGAGTAAGCAATATAAAAACAATGAAACATTTCAATTGAAAGCAGTCCCCGTTTTGTTTGTCTGATCTACCATTTAGTTTAGTTTTAGTGTCAGTGATTTTTGTCAGATTTTCAATTACTCATTTAGTCAGTTACTAGCTGTTGCCTCTGAACTTGAATATGGCTTGGAATGCTCGAATTGCTAAATTGTCGTCATCTCTGAGCTGTCTTTAATAGTATCATTTGTTCTATGATAATATTATGTGTGGATCACTTCGTTGATTTGTTTTTATGCGATTGAGAATGAAAATGAAAAATACAACTGCTACGTTCGATATCAGTGCAAAACACTTTAAAACATCAGTTATCAAGCAAATCAATACAAAACTAACTATAGCAATGACAAGCACTTCTTGGCATTGTGAATGGCCTGAATGACTGTTCCGTGGTCAGGGAGGGCAGTCACTTCAATGTGTCAATTTCAATGTTTGTCACAAAGCGGCTTGAGTGATAAGCATTAAATTAAACGCGATAAACGTACTTAAAGTCACAAATTGAAATATTATCACCCTCAAGTGACTTGCACGTGCAAGGACACACAGTCAAACAAAAACGTACACAGAGAACGTTGTGTTATTATTATTATCATTGGATGGTTTATCAGAAGTATCAGTAAATCAATTGTGAACTTAACTCTTCAAATAAGAAGAATTTGCATGTGGTTTTTTATAACCTGCAAATGAGCGAACCATGCTTATAGAGCATCCAACAGTCATGTTAAACGAATCCACACATTTTTCACCTTATCAACTCAACTCAAATTTTCATTCAACAATGGGGGTTTTCCACGTTCTATTATCGAGTACCACTTGCGTAGATTTGCCTCAGTCTCAAGTGTGTATGCAATATTGCAAGAACTTTCTCAAGAACTATAGCTCCCGTGATTTCTCATCGATCATAAGTATTGACATTGCATGGAGGATTACCACAGATTAGATTATGTTAGCCTTTCTAAATTTGATTTTTTACCTCATCTTGGTTTTTTCAATCACATGAATGTTATTTTTTCGTGTATCTTACTCTCACGTCATAGCAGTCGTCGTCAACCGTAGATTAGCAATGAAATCTCCGACCATTAATTTTTTGTCGTCATTAATGTGATTTCCAATCAATTTTCGTTCACTATATATGCTGAAAGGGTTCACAAAAATTAAATACGTGAAAAGCATGTATATTTGTATTTATATATTTATATTGGAATTAATTAAATTCTTGTATCATATATTGTTGCTCATTAACATTTATTTCCGTAGCTTTTTTTTATTTTTATGTGACAGAATTCGAATAAATAAAATAGTGGAGAACCTGTTCCAAACTTATTAATGAACTATTAATTTTTCACTTTTCTGCCACTGCAATTCTTGAGTTCTTGTGTTCCATTGATATTAATAGTTTTATATTTATTGCTGTGGATGTTGTGCGATGAGCTTTTGTCGCGTGACCAAGGTTTGGCATTGTGCTGATAAGCATGGCAAACTGCTCCACTGAATGATTTGTTGGCCAACGTTGTTGACGCAACATCGATTGCTGGTGTTCCAAATCTAATCGTATAAGCTGTCAAAAGTCCATAAACTTGAAAAGCCCATGGCGATGCAAAGCCTGACTATTATCGGTTGTTCGATTTGTTGGATTACTTGTATTGGCTGACAACGGACTGTTGGACTGTTGGTTGTTTGGTTGTTTGTTTGTTGCAGCTGCAGGCTTTTTCACTTTAGCACACATTCGGATGGCCGAAACTGGTTGCGTTTCAATGCGCCGTTAAATGTTTTTATTAATGCGAATGCAAAATGCGTGGGCTGGCAAACTCGATTCACAGCAAACAGGTCCCTAGCTTCCCAACAGTCGGCAAAAACTATTTGGAAAACAAAATTTAGTGAAAAAAAGTCAGACAAACTAGAAACTATATGATATTTAAGTGAGGCCAAATATATAGACAAAAAATGTGTATAAATGCCTGCCTTTCGATTTTGTTCATTGTGCGGAAGTGTAATATGTGTATTGTTTGAGCAGGGCAAAACCTAAAGCAAAAGTATTGCCGTTATGAATTTATTTAACTATTTTTTGTTTTAAGTTTTTTTGTTTGTTGTATATTCATTGATTTCCGGCGCTCCAACATTTTTTACTTATACATTTTGAGTTCTACAAACTAACAAATACAAAATAACAGATACTACATCAAGAACAACAATATATGAACGTTATATTGTTGCTTGCAGCCATATCAACGGTCCGGTGACTAAAGCTCTGTCCTCACAGCCCCTTCCCAAACAAATCATCCCGCCATCCCCACCCGCCTCGAAGAACAGGACGCACAACAACGAACTGGACGCATTACACAGTACTTTATATACTACTCACACACACACACACTCACACACACTCACACACACACAAAACCCACACATACACATACAATGTAAACCAAAGGCCTTTGGATTTTTCTATAACATTTTTATTCAATTTATATTCTTCAAACATTCTCTTAAAAGACAGTTAAATATTATCATTATAAATCTAAGCAAAAACACATCAGCTCACATTCATCAATAACTTATTATTTTATTTATTTAATCTTTGCAAAAAAAAAGTCAATGAAATTGTGTGATATTTCGATTTTGTTCAGTGATAGTTCCAATCGAGAACCTTAAGCAAAAGGCAACTTTTGCACAGACAAATATGCCAAAAACTTGAGGCAACATAACAAAAAAATAAAAATAAAAATAATAATAATATCAAAAAAAAAAAAAAAAAAGAAAACACAAACCAAATAGATATACGCATACATATATATTTAAATATTATTGCACCTTGATTAGTTGCAAGTATTTGTGTTTTTGTTTATATATATGGATGTATATATGATTATTATTTTTTAGCAAGAAAAGGCTTAGTTTGAATATTAGTTAATGAGTTTCCATTGCGCAACTGAGAATACTCACAGCAAAAGCACACAGTCGCAATTTTGGCTTTGACTATCGCTGCAACACACGCTTGAAGCGAAGTACACCCACAAACACACACCTACACGCACTTTAACACACACGCACACACAGAAAAGCGACCAATGCAAAAATGTCGCAACCACACGAACCGCAGACGCCTGACGTGCCACACAATCAGAACACAAATACAGACACCGACCACAGCAGCACAGATTACAACAACACATCCCACACACCACCCAGCCCATCCATACCAAATGAGCTGAAGCAGCGACAGAAACCATCGCTCTCACCGCTGAATGTGCGACGACTTTCCTCTTATGCCGCTCACAATGATGCCGCCGATTTTGGGGCTGATGATGGTGTGGCGCCACCATCGTCCACTACCATCACAATCAATACGATCAGCAACAACAACAATAACACCAACACCAACAACAATAACAACACATCATCAACAACGTCCTCATCATATGCTACGCCACCAACATACCAACAGCAATTGTCAACAATGACCACAACGACGCCGCTCGATGCGGCCGTGGATGATAAATACAAGTTATTTACCATTTACAATGGAAACGGTGAGTGACGGCAACTGAGGCAGCAGTAGCAGCAGCAGCAGTAACAGCAGCAGCATTATCATCATCATCATCTTCATCATCATCATGATTAGGAGGCATTCTAGTTTAGAGTACAAGCCCCCAGTGGCGCGCCAAGCCCTTGAAACGAAATCGTTAGCGATAACGATACCGATACCAATACCGATACCGATAACAATATGCTGCTGCGTTAAATATGCTGAGTGTACTGTTGCCCCGTCTCATTCTTTGCCTCAGTATCTACCTCTTTTTTCTATTTCTTTATTTATTTGATTCTTCTTAATCTTTGTTCAAACATTTACATATGCACATATATATTTTATATTGATCAACAAAACCTTGCAGAGTTGTAATTTTTACTTATTGTGAAACTACGATTATTCTCCGCTTGTCGTATCATCTTTTTCCTTATGTGAATATACATTTATAATGGTATTTAAAAACTCTAACTTAACGTTAGAGCTCCTTGTAATCATTTTTCTATTACAGTATCAAATTTATTCTTAAAATATTATTAAATTCAGAAAAACAAATATGTATGTGATGTTTCTTGTAAATATATTGTTAGCTTTAACAAATGCAATTAAATATATGAAAGTTTGAAAAAATAAAGTAAATAAATAATGCGCATTTCTAACTATTTCTTACAAAAAAGCACCAATTTTATATACATCATATCTCTAAATCAAAACTTAAACTAAAACACTACCGATTACATTTGTTGCAATCTTTTGCAATTATAAGCCTCATAATAATTAGCCATATGAACTCCGTTAATTGATTGCAAGAAACATACATACATCGTATAAAATAGTAAAAAAGAAAACTTTTCAACTGGAACTATTCATATTTCAAGTATATTTAAACAATGAGCAACATTTATAAATGAATATTATTCTGCAAGTGTATTAAGAGCTTCGTTTTTACCGATGCTACATTTTGCTTAATCTTAATTCAACAGTCTTGCATATTTTCATCTCGAATCTTTTATGTTATGCTCAAGTTATAATCACATACAACTACAGTAACAGTTACTCTTACATATATTGTATTTGAATTCCAAGAAAAAATTAGAGAGAACGTTGCAGTCGGGCGTAACCGACTGCAAAATACTTTGATACCATAACTAATACTAGCTGATAACAGGGTAAGTGTTTCTAAGAAATACTCTCCATGTTTGCCGTTCAAATTGCGGTAGATACAAGCTGGTAACGTTCCTTCGATGTTTGGTAACTGTAGCTCTTAAATTGCGGGAGATATAGGCGTTTTGGATATTTTGGGACCGGGAGTGGACGTGGTCCAACATATTTACCGGAGTTTTTAAGGGTGTTACTGGCAATATCGCTTTCAAATTTGGTGACTCTTTCAAATTGTGTGAGATATATGGATTTATAGACTTACACTAACAAGTGTATCGGTTTGAGGAGGCGGAGTGGACGTAACCATCAAATTTTTTTATCGATCTCTTAGGGGAGATACCAGTAACATACTTTTAAAATTTGGTGACTTACAAATTGTGAAAGATATATGCATTTCATATTTCTGAGGGCGGTGTAGGTGGGCGTGGCATATGCCGACATCTCCAACCACCTACCAACCAAATTTAGTGACTGTAGCCTTAAAGTTGAGGGCAAACTGTGGCTTTATCGATTTGCAAAAATATCGATTTTTGTCGATTTCCAAGACCCCTCGTGGATGTAGCACTCAAATTTTTAATCTTGGTCTAACCCGGGCACGGACCAGTAAGTGTTCCAAGTTTCAAGTCTCTAACTCTAAGGGTGTCGAAAAAAGTTCCGTTCATATAGACAGACAGACGGACGGACAGACAGACGGACGGATAGTTAGACGAATAGACAACATGACGGACATTGTACGAAACCAAAATACTGTGATACCTTCGGTATCAGACTGTTTATTGTATTGTCTTATTTTTACAATCGCACTATCGCAAATCATATACATGTTAATAATAGATGATAAACACATAAAATCTTTATTAATTATTGCATGCAATTTTTTGTTGTTGTTTGCTTGTTTGTTTTCTTGTCTGTGCTGTTGTTGTGGCAGCTTTTATGGACGAACGATTTGTAATTTATTAACTTCGCTCGAAAAAAATACACAAAAAAGAAGACAACAAACAAACAAATTGTTCTATTCATTTGGCAAAAAAAAACTCGTTTAAACAATCTAAACATAAAAAAAAAAAACAAAAAACAAACACGAGTAATACAAACGCTTTATAACTTAGTTTTGGCTTAGTGTGTAGGGTAGTGCTTATAAGTAATACTCGTCTTTAATTGTGACGTTAATTAATTGCCCTGCTAATGACTCAATACTCTTGTCTTTAGTTGCATGCCACACAGCCAGACACACGCACACGCACACACACACCTACATACACACACCAAGATACTGTGATTGAAAATTTAGCTAGATTGTCATACTAACTGCATTGTTTTCTTTCCCTATATCTGTTTCTTCCCCACATACCCAAAAATTCCCGCTTGTTGCACAGACCCCGACAATGAGAAGTTGTCCGGCCTTCCCCATTCAACAACTGGTTCACTAAGCTCAATCATCACGACGTCTATAGCATCCTCCGAACCGGATCCTGGTGCGGCGGGCAGCGGCGGAGGTGGAGGAAGTGGAGGTGGAGGACATGGCGGCAACAGTGGATCTGGCGCTCTGGTGGCAGCAGACGCATCCAGCATTGCCGGCATCAATGGCAGCTCCGAGGAGAAGTTGGCTTTAAATCGGCCCGGCATCAAACAAGAGAAATGGTCAACCATATTATTGCAGGTGTCCATACCGTTCTTTCTGGCCGGCATTGGCACCATTGGAGCGGGAATTGTACTTGGACGCGTCGAGGTAATGTAATATTTTCAGCTCAGTGATTTATCCCATTAAATGCATGTCATATATTTAAGCAATTGCCAAAAAAAAAATAAATAAATAAATAAAAGCAGAACCGAAAAAAAAAACACTTATTGTCGCGTGCTTCGGGCAGAGGTGTCACGGCCTGGCTAATGAGTTGTTTCGCCGGTTCGTTGGTATGCTGGTTCGGTACGTTAATTGGCTAATGGGATTCTGTGTTGCAAGAGCATCAGCACAGCTGACGAATCTCATCAAATGCCTCATTGACATTGCGCAAGTGCCAAGATGTAGATAAAAAAAGGTGCAGACAATTAAAATGACACGCAAATTAAATTGTAAACTCTAATGGCAGTCTCCGACAACTCATTAAAACTACACATAACAAAGCAAAGCCGTAAATACAATTTAGGCACACACAAAAAAAAAGTCAAACAAAACAATTTTATGAGCACCCAACAGTCTGAGAAAATCCGAATTAGACACGCCACCAACACCTGGACCTTCCAAAAACATTTCGTTTTTAGCAAAAAGACTCTTCTTAAAAAAATCATCAAGCATTTTATTCGATCCTTTTTCAATACATAATAAAATTGAAAGCATCGTCTTAGTTAACTAAAACAATAATTAATTTTTAATTGAGTTTTTGCTAAATTTAACAATTAAAAAGCTGAAGATCTTACATCCCTAGTTTTTATACCGCCGTAGAGAATATTTATCATTTTATCGGGAAGCCTGTAACGCATTCAATGAGACGTCTCCGTCAGAAAACAGCAAACATATAATTAAACTTTGTTTAAAACGTACAAAACCATAATAATATTCCGAATTCCAGACTGAAATTTAGATGTCAAGAGGAATCCTGCAGAGTTACAAGGACATAAAACCATCCGCGTGCCTAAGTTTTTTTGGTATATGGTGGCCAGGTCATGATCGTTATTTACTTTCGTTTTTCTTAATCGACTATGGCACATTTATCACATCGTTTGCCAAGTAGTGTATATGCACATGATTCTTTATGAAAGGCATCGATTGTAACTTCCGTCCTTATTCTATATCGAAAGTTTACTTTTTAGCTGGTTGGATGATTAATAAATTAAGCAACTGCACGTCAAAGGATGATAAGAAATGTAAATTAAGCTGCTTAGTCACATACATATCTATAAGGCAGACAAAAACATTCAACACTTAATAAATATTTATTGGGTTGCTAATTAACCCCAAAAAATTCTGGTCTAAACTAACCACTGGGCCGGCTACAGTTGATGCCAGCCCGCTATAACCAGCTCCAAAATTGAATAGCCAGATAAAAACCAAAGACAAGACGAACTATTCAAAAAAATAAATAAATAAATAAATATACATATAATATATACTACACTATATAGTTTAGCCTCGCTCTACTTGATGACGTCACTGTCAGATTTATAATCAAAATTGAAGCCATAAATCGCAGTGAATTCATTATGTAGATATACATACTGTGTAGGAGGACTAACTAATTAATATTGTGTGTGTTTTATCTTCCTTTCTTTTCAATGATCGCAGAAATGGTACGTCTTCCAGAACGTGAGCGAACTGTTTATTTTGGTGCCAGCGCTGCTGGGCCTTAAGGGTAATCTGGATATGTGTCTCGCCTCGCGCCTCTCCACGCAGGTCAACCTTGGGAACATGACGTCGCGGTCGAATGTGGTGCGCATGATTGTCGGAAATATTGCATTGGTACAGGTGCAGGCAACGGTAGCCTCATTTCTTGTGGCTATGTTTGCCACGAGCGTGGGTGCGGCTATGACCGGTAACTTTTACTTTGAGAATGTGATGCTGCTGACCGCATCGGCCATGTTTACGGCTACTTCGTCGTGCTTTGTGTTGGGTAAGCGTACACACCTAAAGAGCATCTATATTTGAGACCTGTTTAACATGATGTGACAATTTGATATTGCAGATTTTGTGCTGGTGGCTGTGATTCTGTTCTCTCAAAAGTATCGCCTTAATCCGGATAACCTGGCCACGCCACTGGCTGCCTCCATTGGAGATGTTGTGTCAATCAGTTTGCTGTCGTTTATTGCCTCGCTGCTCTATGACCACATAAGTATGTCTTTCGATCTCGATCTATATTTATTGGCACGCTCTCACGATCTGTAATCTGTTTTGCAGAGACCCATCTGTGGATCACTTTCATTGTGGTTACCTGCTATCTGGTGCTGCTGCCCATGTGGGTTCTTATTGTTCTGAAGAATGAGTATACACGGCCGGTGTTGAAGAGCGGTTGGGTGCCAGTGCTGTCAGCGCTCTGCATCAGCGGGTAAGATTTATCTCTACATCTTGTCATCGTACCACTCATACAATCTCTCTCTCTCTCTCTATCATTTCCTTTCTCTCTCTGGCTCTATCCCAATGTCTCTCTGTTAAGCGTGATTAAGGGCACTTGGAAAGTGCCGCCTGATTTGGGCCATGATAAGCACAATTTGAGCTTCAATTTCCATACATTACAAGTTTTTTGTGCCATTTCATGTCCAGTTGGTGGCGGCATTAGGTGTTCCAAATTGAGCAACACATTTTGATTGATCGGTTATTTATTTGCTTTTATTTATAAAGCGCCGACGGCGAGCTAAGCCAATGGCTATTGTTAACTTGTGTCCTTCACTCGCAGCGTGACGGTCAGCGAGGCCCAGTTTTAGTTGAGCTTAGCTCAGTTAATTTATAGACAGTTGGAATATTAATAAACATAGCAAAGCTTTATAAATAGCTTGTTGTAAACTACAAACTATTTAGGCATATAATTTGTGAATGTATTTAATTAGTTTAGTGGTATTTCAGCCATAGTTCTATATGAACTGAAAACAAAAACTAAACTAAAACTAAAATTTGTTACTTATGGGATCTGCTATAAACATTCATAAAACCATTAGTTTAAACGGGAGTTCATGTTTGATTGCTTCTCACATACTTTGATTATAACTTTTGCAGGCTCGGTGGTCTCGTGTTGGACGCCGCTGTGGAGGTCTTCAATGGTTTTGTCGTCTTCCAGCCGATCATTAACGGCATTGGCGGCAATCTGGTGTCGGTACAGGCCAGCAAGATATCGACCATGTTGCATCAGAGCTCAATTATTGGCATTATACCACCGCACACGAAAGTCGTCGAGTGGCCATGGCGAGCACTCTTCAAGGGCGGTAAGTTGAATAAACACTCCACTTCATAATATATAATATATTTATAATTCTGTAAATTGATATCATTATTTTGCCAACACAGTGCCCTATGCAAAAACGGCCCGCATACTTATCGCCATGTCCATACCAGGCAACATATTGTTCATCTTTGTGGCCGATTACATAAACATGAATGCGACGACTGTAACGTGGGTGTTTATGCTATCCTATTTATTGGCCAGTTTGATACAGGTAAGTTTGAGTACCTCTTTCTTAACACACGCTTTGGAAGAGGTTATCTAACTTGTTGAAATCATTAACAGGTAATGCTGCTGCTCTACATTGCGCACATCATTGTGCACGCCATGTGGAAATGGAAGATCGATCCGGACAACTCCTCCATACCATATCTGACGGCGCTGGGCGATCTGCTGGGCAGCAGTTTGCTGGCTCTCGCTTGGCTCTTTACAATGTCGGTGAACAAGCAATACGGCTCCAATATGGATACACTGAATGCGCCCAACTAGCAAAACTTCACTAACACGATAGTTGCCTACATACATAATCTACATAGCTGTGGGGCCGCATCCTTTTTGATGGCGCCCAGTTTATTAGTTAGCACGCAATAGGATAATGCAAATTTGGGATAATATGAAATTGCATGTAAAGCAACTCAATACAAAGAACTGTAATGTACCTAAATTCAAACATAGAAAACTTACACGTACACAAAACAACGATGATAGACATCAAAAGCACACACACACACATATATATATATTTATATATATATATATATAGCACATAAAACCACACACACGACGACACAAAACCCAAAACAAAAAGACAAAAGACCTATTCAAATATTTGTAAAATATTTCGAATGTTTAAATTGAGGATGAACCATTTCTTTTTGTAGCTTTCACATGGCTTTTGCTTGTGTTCCTTTGCTCTACCAAGGCATGTACGAGTATATATTGTAAATTTTGGGCGATCTGACCTGTTAAGCCACATGGCAGAGCGCTACGTAATAGTTTTTTTTTAAGGCTTTTAGGACAATATTATACACATACAAATGGACTCCAATGGGAGCTAAGTGCATATAACTTGTGCAACTTAAAACCAAACTATCGGATTTTCATTTTTGTTGTCTTTTGTTTTCATAGTGCACAGTTTTCCTTAATCAGCAAAATTAAAAATAATTTACACTGAAAATAGACTTAAATATGGCCTACTTAATTTTTATATAATACAATCTATAGTATTAGCGTTGATTTGATTTTTGCAAATCTCGCTTTATTGTTTTAAACATATAAATATTTTTTTCCTAATATTAGAAACGAATTTTTTTTGCTTAGCACACCACCCAAAACCACAATAAATCCATATTTATTACCTCTGCTATAAAAGACCCAAGTGCAACCTTTTTTTTTTCTTTTAATAATATAAGTAAAACATAATTGTATTTGTATGTATTTAAAACCAGAATGTAATATAATGTATCTAATTATTATTGTTTGTGCGTTACGTAAAGCGAACAGGGAAAGTTGAGACGTTCTGAAAGGAAATGTGATCGATATTTAATTAAAATAATAATAATTATAAACTAATGTAATTCATATACATAGCATGATTATTGTGTAACAATAATTAAAATTAATTAATATGTTGGAATAAACGAAGGAAGTTTTGTGAACATCATTTGGGTATTTAAATTAAAGCGCGCCTATTGTGGATATTGATTTTATGTATAGAATTTTTGTGGACAGTGTCGCTAACTGCAACACTGTAGATCGACGCACAGCCGCATATCGATATTTCGACATATCGATAACATCCGTAGAGCGTTTGGTGACGCTACCAAACACGATATCTATCGTGCTTGTATGGAGTTTTCCAATTAAATATTGTATTTCCTTAAGGCTCGAAAAACAAGCCTGGAAGTTAAGAAAACTATATAATAATTATAAATATACAAAGAGTATTAAATATGTACTAAGCGATGTATCAGCCACGGCGAACATCAGAATTTCATGACGATGCTCGGGATGATGGCGCCATTTTAAACAAACGCCAAAGCAGGTAAGTTCAACATTCATATTTATTTGTTCATGCATTGTATTATAATATCGCAACTGTTGGGCGTATCCAACTTTAGGGCGCAGCGTAGCACGTCGGCATCAGTAAACAAGCCTAGCCACAGCAACTGGCAGGCACAGTCACGGCTAACTCAGGATCGCGATCGTGGCACGCCCCTTCGCTCGGGTCCGCTGCCCACAACGAAGCGTAGTGTGGCCAATGGCACGACGCCGCTGCGGCATCGACAGGCAACCTCAGTGGAGCGGCCCGTGGCGCTGCACACGGACAAGAAGTGGGTGCAGGAGCAGTCGCAGCTGATTGCCGAATATTTGGATGAAATGAATCATTTGGCTATCCTACCAGGATTTCCCAATGAATTCTTTAGCCGCGGCGGCACTGCACTACGCCAAATGACGATGAAACAGTTTGTGAGCATTGTGAACTTCTTTTTTCAATTTATTTGGGGCAATCGCACAAGTGTGGGCAACAATCATGTGGATGATATTACGAGCGTCTTGCATAAGATCAACTATCCGTATCAGGTGAACAAGTCTTGGTTGATGACGCCCACAACACAGCACTCGTTTGGTCATGTAATTGTCATGCTCGACTTTCTGAAGGACTTTGCCCCTGTTTTGCCTCTCAAACAGCAGGAAGCTGGCGAAGATGAGGAGTTCCCATTTGTGGAAACCAGTGAACAACCGAGCTATGTTCAAAATACCCTTGATTCCATGGCTCTATCCAATACACAGATCAGCAGCATCATGCTCAACGAGGAGACGGTTCAGTTGTTATTTACCTCGACGAAAGACTGTTTTGCGATGTGGGACAAAAAGAAGGGCGATGATTTTCCGGTGTTAGAGCGCGAAGTCAGAAATCAAATAATTAAAAGCCTTTGTGACTTTCCTGATATTGAATCTCTGGATGAGGATATAATTCGTCTGCAGAACGAGTTGCAGCAATTGGAAGAGCAGCTGCAACTACCCAGCGAAAACAACATGGAGCAGCTGGAGCAACTAATTGCCCAGGAGCAGCATCTAGAGAAGCAGCTGCTGATTGCCCAAACCCGTGGAAAGGAATATTCTGAGAAGATTGCACAGTTATTTGATCGCAACAAACAACATGTAAAAGAGATGAAAGTGCTGCACAGAGAGTGGAAACAACTGCAATGCGAAGTGAGCGGACAAAAGTACACCGTGGAACAGTTTCAGCGCATGAAACTGATGCTCAGCGATCTGGAGAACGAGGAGCATTTCTATAAGCGGCAAACGCTTGAGTTTACTGAACGCGGCTACGATCAGCAGGTGCGAATGGCTCGTGCCAAGAAGCATCTGCTCGACCAAGTGGAGAAATTCAACACGCATGCGCAGAACATAGTTTTCGATTCGAACATATGCAGCGCTAGCGAGAAGGATAAATTGGAGCTGCTGTTGCCGTTGCCGCCGCTACATTCTGATATTCAGGTACGCAGCCGGCGTCTCACCAAACTAGCCGCTCTGCTTGAGAAACGTGGCGCTCAGCACAGGGAGCGGCATCGGCAGCTGGAGCAGCACAGAAACGAGCTGACCCTACAGAACCGGAATCTCCAAACGGAACTCAATAATATAAACAAACAAGTTCAGTCATACGAGAAGAAAGTGTTGCAACTGCACCACGCATATAAAACCAAAAGAGCCATGTGGGCGCAGCATCAAGAGCAATTGGAAGAACGCAGCTTGGAACTCAACGCGAAGTTCGAGCAACTAAAGCGGCATCAGGAAGAGTTAACACTCGATTTGGAAAACAAAAGACAGCAGAATGAGGATTACCTTAGCGCTGCCGAGCGGCGCCAGGAGGAGCGTTTGCGCGAAAGATCCGAATTCCTAGAGAATTACCAGCAGAAGCTGGCAGTTGCCAATGAGCAGCTCAAGCAGTTCGAAGCGATAGTTACACAAAACAACGTCGAGTTAGCCAATCTTGAACGGAAGCTGGAGAGCATCAAGCTGTCCCCGTTCGAGAATGAATTGAATGCGGCATTTTTACGGCTTAAGGAAAGTAAATAGTATATTTATTTCATGTATAGTTGCAAATAAATTGATACTGCTTTCATGCAAAGAACATTTTTGTTATGGATCTGGAAGGGACGGACATCTTTTAACTCGCATTGAAGGATTTTCATGATCTGTAAAAAAAGTCTGTCGAAATTTTTACAGGGAAAAAATCGCAGTAACTTTTCAATTTTCAGGACTACATTCCAATGAACGAAGATTACTCAAGCAACAAAAAAGTGATCATATCTCAGACATTTTCTGTTCTCAGCCATGTTACAAACCACTATTATTAATAAATTAAATAATATTATTAAGAATCGTCCTTAAAGTTTTAGCGATTGCAAGGGTTTTCTTATGTCGTATTTTTTCGATGGCCTCATATATCCTTGAATGCCAATCAATAGAGCAGGTCCTTCTGATCCCAACGCACCACATATAGTAAGTTACATTATATATTCAATTCATTAACTGTTTAATTTGCATGAGGAGACGTTTAATGAATTAATTACATTTCGGTTATAAGTATTATTGGATGAGTGTCTAAATTCTTGCATGGAGTGATTTCAAGTGGAGTTTGTGAACAGCCCTCGTTGTGAATGTACACACACGTACAGAAACTGAATGGACTGAACGGTCGGCTGGCTTGCATTGTCGACTATGAAATACTCTATAAAATATCAACATGATATAGAGCGAGAGGGGGAGAAAGATAGATAGAAGTGAGTGAGATGGAGCTACAATTGCTAGCTTTGGATTCTCGCTTAATTATTGCCACGCGGATCAAACATTTGATTATATTGTTTTAAATTGCACTTGGTACGGTTTAAGTTTAGGTTAAGCTTTAGCTTTACATTGTACTGTTACATATATATATATATATAGGAGAACGTTCGCTTCGTGGGAGGGGCGGGAGTTGGGTTTGGGCTTGGGCTTACATACATACGATTACACATACATAATATAATATAATTTTTGGCCAATTTTGAGTAATGTGAAACAGAAGAAAGCAATGCAAAACAAATGCACTGAAACAACATTTTGCTGTAATAAATAAGTATGTGTGTATAGTATAGCTTAGGTAAATTTATACAGTAGTGTGTGTGTATGGTGTGTAATAGTGCTGATGGTGGTTGTTGGTGTATCTGCTGCTGCTGCTGCTTTTGCTGCTTTTGTTGCTCTTGTGCGATTGCCGCTCAAACTATAAAAACATCACCATTGTTGCACTCCACAGCGGACGCAGTACCAGTGGAGAGAGCGAGATCACCGCCACAGCCGGCACGTAATGGCTGAGATTGCGTTTGGTTTGTTGTTGCTGCCATTGCGTGATCCTCGGGAGTGATTTTGTCCAGCAGCTCGGCTTCTCTGCCAATCTCAACGATGCCCTGCGGCTGCTGTTGCTGCTGCTGCGGTGAGCTGCTGCTCGATTCAAGTGCTTCCTCCTGATTATCATTGCAGATTCGGCTGGCCATGTGTATGCTAACGCCGGTCACATCTAGCTCCGCCTCGTCCTTGTGGTTTTGGAATGTAACTGAGATCTCCGGCGGCTCTTGTGATGCCGCCGCACCGTCGATGCCCTCGTCAATGTGACTTTGGCTGCTGTCACTGCCAGCACCAGAGACGGAGGCACCGTTGCCTGTGCTATTAGCAGGCGCTGTCATCATAGAGGACCACCAACTGGAGAGGGCCCCCTTGGCCTGTGAGATGGCACCGCCAACGGCTCGGCTAGTGTTATTGACTGCTTGATTGATCTTTCGTCCGCTCTCGCTGTTCTGCATGGTCCTGTCAGGGCCAAGCAATAAACCAAGAAGTTAATTCCTTAATTATTCTGGGTCTTGTTTGCAACTTGATCTTTACTTACTGCGCCAGTTTCAGCTTCATGTCTGCCACGGACAGAGTGCCCGCAAACGGATGGCCAACGGGTAGTGCATCAAAAAATTCGGGTTCAGGTCGCACATCAAACCACTCCTGGTAGCACTGTGTGCGCTTAAAGGCGTTCATAAAGTTCGGATTGAAGTGATCATTGTCCTTAACATCTGTGCATAAAAAATTCGATTATGGATACGATTAACTTCGGCTCTCACTTCGACTTACCCGGCGCTATCGCAGTACGTAGGAGAGCCAATATGTAACCTTGGAACTGTTCGCGAATCCAGTATTCACTTCCCTCAGCATCCTCTTTGGGCGTTTGTACGTGCTTCAGTATGTAGTCCATGTAGCGTAAATCTTCGGTGCTGAGCACAAGCTGGCGCCGCAATTCCGGATCATGAGCATCCAAATTGGCCGACTCAATATCAACGAGCACGTCAGCCAGCTGACGCTTCTGCTGGAAAAGCACATTGGAGGTGCCAATGATGTAGGACAGCACCATCGGATCGCTGAGCAGATCCATGTACGGCAGCGACAAATACGGCAGGCACAAATTGCCGCTGGCAAAGATGCTGACAGGTGCTCGGTATTCGTCCGGATTAATTGCGCAGAGTGCGGCAAGATTAGCTGACAAAGAGAATCTGATATTAGCATTGCCATTAAATGAAATAAACCGATAGCATAGCTTAATTCTTATCTAAGGTGATACAAGCCCAATCTCTATAACCTTATCTACGAGCAGTGGGCACTTATTTCAGATTGGCATCTTATTTCGGGGGATGAATTTCGAAGAATTTACCGTAGATCATTATTAGGTCATACAATATTTTTTCAAGGATACAACCATTCACTTACAGGCCAATGTATCAACGCTCGCCTCGCGAGTCAATGAGCTGCTGCGTCCGTTTCGCTTGCCGCCCCCAGCGCTGGTACCGCTTTCCGTTGAGTCGACGCGATGCAGACCATGGTGCGTAGGCGTTGTGGTTGGGCAGCTTGAGTCCTGCGACTGTGAGTTTGGAGTTGTGCGCGGTGAGGTGTTGCCGCTGCTGTTGCAGCACTGTGAACCCGCGGAGGCGGCCGAGGAAACTAGCGTCAAGTCTTCCGCTTCTGGTAGCGCGTCAGGCTCAATCTCAACCACAGCATCAGTTTCTGCTTCAGTTTCCGTCTCAATATCCACCTCCGCCTCGCGCTGCAACGAGTCCGTAAAGTCAGGCATTGGCGAGAGTGGACGGGAGGTGCGCACACAGGCCACTTCCTGAAAGCCCTTTTCCAGCAAACGCGGCACCAGCGATGCCATGCCCAATATTAAGACGCACATGCCGCGCACCGGAGAGCCAAAGCAGACAACGCGCCGTTGGAGGAGCAGCAGCTTAAACAGTATCAGCGTCTTGTGGCGCCACTGGAGCACAATCTCGCGCAGCGAGAGACCCACATGAAAATGGCGCAGCGGCCGACGCGTCTCTTCATCAAGCAAACACGAATTTAGCTGCTGATATGCCTTTACCAGCAGCTCTGTGCAGCTGAAGTCACCCTGGTCGAAGAATGCGTCGGCAATGAGCGACAGTTTCACCTCAATATACCCATAGATGGGCAGGCGTGCTAATATGCATACGGACTTTTGTACGGTGCTGCGGGTCACGTCTGCAGTCCGTATTTTGAGCTTCTCCACGGGGATTTGACGATAGCACGAGACGCCATAAATACTTTCCGCCGGTTCAAACAGACTGGGCAGATTAAAGAACACCGTATCCTCTATAAAATTATGCGAGCCGTCGGGCAGAGCCAGCGTTGGTAAATACTTCCATCCAGATGGGCACTCGTTGCGACCAGTTGAGCCGGCGATTAGCGGCGGGTGCGAGAACTCCACCTGACAGCCCAGTTTGTGATGGAAACCAACGACCAGAATGTGCAATATGGGCGGCTTGTTCTCTGGCTCGCTGGCCATGTTTTCGTTCAAATGCTATGCGAGCTGTGCACAATTCGCAGAAACTGAATGCGTCGTTAGTTAGACAGGAACAAAAACGCAGATAAGTGGGGGAGGGGCGGGGAAACGGAGGCGCGTCCTCGCTGCGTCACTGTTTAAAACAAAAGAAATGACCAACAATGAAATAGCGCATTAAACAACAAACATAAAAAACACTTACATACATTTGTATTTGTGAGTATGTTTGTATAAAGATATCTTAATTTGTGGTTCTTCAAAATTAACAAATCGAGCTATAGAACTATCGACAAAATGCGGTGGTGGCTGGCCGATAAATGTGAAGCAATCGTAATGGGAAAGAATTGCGATAAATAATAACAATTAGCCGATATTGAATTGCTAATTATCGAATATACCAACTTATAATCCGCACAGCCCGTTACAACTTTGTGTTTATTTATTTTTTTTTACAGACTTACGCATGTACATATTGATGTGGAGTGCAATATGTAAATATTGATACTCAAAGTCTTTTAAAAGCTGAACATTTCAAAATATCAGATACAAAAACACATTAGCATTCTGAAAATAATATATATCCACACATATGTATATACAACATAGCATGCCAAAGGCGTGCCAAATTGAATGCAAATATTGGGATGGGATTGCTTTTAATACATGTGTATTTATTTTAAGGTTGAATTGCAAATGCGCTGCAAAACTATTGAGGATCTATTCCAATATGTTGCAATTAAATAATTACATTAATTGTTTATTCATGAATGTTAAGATTACAGTATATCTGGCCAAATTTGCGGCAAAGAAATATGCTAATTTTCTTTAATTAACTATTTATGGAACTGTATTGTACATAACTATTTCATACATATATACCATGTATTATTTCCAAAATAAATGAAAATTTAAAGATTTTTCCACAAATTATTAAATGATGTTCAATAATATTAAAATGAAAGAAAATACAATTAACACCAAATTTATTAAAGTACTTCCCCAGTTAGCTGCTGCACAAAAAATGCTAATTTTTATATGGTATCTGAATAAACAAAAGCGTTGAACGTTGACTGATCAACATTTTTGTTTTTTGATTTATACAAAAGAAAAATCTGAATATTAAATAAATAGGATATAATGATTTCGACTGTTTTTTTTGGTTAAATAGTTTTAAATTCATTTAAAAATGCTTGTTCATGATTTTAGTTATAAAATACATATATACATATTAAAATGTTTGAAAATATGAATGCAATACGAGTAAACAGAAAAAAAAAAAAAAATTACAGAAAAATAAGGACCCTTTCTTTGTCTAAAGTGGCTTAGCATTTGAAGTATTTTTCGTTAAAGTGTGTATACGATTTTACATGGTTTTGAAAAGTTCTCTTCATGCTTGCTGTCTATAATTTCATTCTTAAATACTTTATATTTTGCCGTTTTTCGTTTCGTTTAATTCGGTTGAACTTATTTTTAAATCGAACGTCGCACGTATATATTCTAAATTTGGCACACAACGAGTTGTTTGTTAGGTTACAAAATATGTTTGCTTTTCTTAAAACATCACTAAGGTTTATGAAAACACGAAGCGAACATGATTATGAACAGAGTTTGTATTAAAGATCTTATCAATAAAACTTGTAAAAAACGCTTTCACACAGCTAACCCAAATGCCTACAAAGAATTGCGATGCTAGATGAGTCACAAATTGTGATATTATTATACAATGTACATTAGAAGCAGCATTGAATGTTTATACATATAAGTATGTATGCCGTTCAATTGGTGTGACCGAGTTTTACAAACCTCCTTATACAATTCATTGAAAAAAGATTCCAATCGAAGTTGTTAAACATACACGATTCTGATGGAATTCATAACTTTCTTATAGTGACCATGCAAATAAATATTTTCAATTTAAAATTAGAGCATATGAAATGTTCTTAGAATTCTTGAGTAAATTCCAATATTTACATTTGTACAAACAATTTAGCTAGCTGATTTCTAAACAGTTTATTTGAGATGCCAAGTGGCTTATTAGATATTTTGGCGTAACTTCACAGAATGCATATTAGTTATTAAGTTAAAAGTTGGGAAAGTTTCGACAATGTTGTGGTTGTGGAAAGCTTTTCCTTATCCCTTAAAGCGATTATTTAGGGTAGCAAAAATGGAGTTCAATGTACAAAGCAGTATTAATCTTGACCGTAAACCGTGGCCAAAAAGATTTTGCTTTTAAAAATCGGTTCAGTCTAAAGAAATTATAGCTGCGTGAATTTTGAATCGAATATAAACTTGTATTATTATACACTGAAGCAAACAATTTGTCCGATTAAGTCCATAATTTTTAAGATTTGGATTTGATGTTCATAATGAGGTTAATGTTAAAGTTAAACTCAGTGCATCCGTTTGATCTGCAGGTAATCGCTGTAGAAAGCGGTTCCCATAGATAGACATTTAAACACATTGTCGTAGACACTAGCTATAAAGCTACACACATATTTATTCATGGTATGTGCATGTGTATGTACCATCCTAAATGTAGATATGTATGTGGATTGCTGAAAACCGAACAGAGCCGAAGGCAAGCCGAGCGCATCTTCGCCCACACAAAGGCCCCAAAAATAGCACAATACCCGAAACATTGCTATTTGTTTTCCTTGATTTTGTTGATGTTGAAGATGATGCAAATTGAAATTTAGTTGAAGGCAACAGAAAAATATGTATGTATGTATGTACGTACATACGTAAGTATGTATATGCCGTATATTGTATCTGTATATGAACATATGTGTACTACATATATGAAAAACAGATTGTTGAAATATTTGGCTTGGTTTCACTAAGTTCAAAGTTTTTAATGTACGTCGGCCCCAAGAATTGGCATATGCTCTATTAACATCCATGCTACATATATATACGCCCAGTTTGAAATTGATATAAGTATATATCTATGTTTATCTATTCATATATATATATATATATATATATATATATATGCATATAGCTCGCGTTGACTAAATTGGGCTTACGTGCCATGGTGAGATTTTTGCCCATAGACGTTCAAATGGGTCATTATTCGTATGTGGGACTATACCTTTTGAAGTCCCCCATTGAAAAAGTGTTTGCGATATTTAAAGGCATTCAAAACGTAAACAAATGGAATTTGAATTCTATTCGATCATCGATTATGCAATTGCGAACTTAGTCAATAAATTTCAAGCTGACTTTTCTTGCTCTCATCTTTAGTGCATAGTTGATGCCATCTGCTGCAGGTGTGTTTTTCATCATCAATTGCTGTTTTGTGATCGTCTCGTTGTAAGTTTTGTTGAGTCCCGTGTATCTATCCAACTTGCATACATTTGTATTTATAAATCTACCATATATATGTGTGTTAATTGTATAGATACAGATACAGATTCTAAATATAAGCAGATACTTTTACCCAGTGGCATCAAATGCGAAGCAAAACAAAAAAAAAAGAGAAAAGAAAAGAAATAAACTCGATTAACAGCACAATTTATATTTTGAAATTTGCTATTGTTATGTATTTGATTTAATATAAAAGATATTTAAAGTCCAGGTAAATATATTATTATGGATGGTTGTTCATTTCAACTTACTTATTTCTTATAAGTACATAATATCTTAAAATGAGAACAATTTAATTGAAATTTGACAAAAAAATAAAGCCTAAGTAAGTTTCCTAATATGGCTTTATTTTATATTTAATTATATTAGTCCGCATATTTTAAATTATAAACTGACAAAAACTTTCTGCTAAACTAACTTAAAAAACAACAAGTTCAAAAGTATTGTGCACACAAGTATTCAAAGAGGCTTTCACGTAAAATTTGCACCGCGACCTACTTGAACTATTGTGGCCCCTTCTGAGTCTACAGCTCTTCCATCAGCCCCAGTTCCCGCACGAATGATGAGAGGATCTTTGTTGGGCTGAGGTCTTCTATGTCTCTAAAATTCTAAACATGCATCCCTAGGATGCTTCTTCTAGCTAAGGCGACACATTCTGCTCGGATGTGCATCGAGGATGCCTCCTCTCTTTCACAAAACCTGCACAGATCGCTACCACATACACCAAGTTTAGTTAGGTGACTTCTTAGTCTACAGTGTCCTGTCAATAGACCGGTAAGTATCCTAAGGCTGTTCTTTCCCAAATTTAAGTAGTAATTTGACAGTAAAAATTCGACGAATAAAAAATGTACAAATTAATAATGGCTTGGGTTGTATTTCACTTAAAGTTCGAACATAAATTTATTCACTTGAAGCTTAAGATTACTTACACGTATGTGTGTAAAATAAAATATTCTTAATTATAGATGATGGATTATGGATTATGGATTATCTATGTATGTGAGTGATATATGCATCATTCATAGAGTTTGAGTTTAATTTTGATTGCATTTGAAACTATTGCTGCAATTTCAGCTTTCAATACGAGAACGATAGCTCAGGGTGCTCAGTTATTAAGTAAAACGTTGAACGAATAGGTCAAATTCAAATCCAAAGAAGAACAATGACGAATAGATCGATTTTATAGGCAGACAGGCAGATGGAGAGACGGACGGACAAACGGTACTAAGGCCGGCTATTTGGCAGCCAGCAGCGACGTCAGCATACATTTAAATATGTCTGTATATACGTATATAGATTATATATCTCTATATATGATTCAAATGTATGTAGAATGGTTTAAAACAATCGCTGATAAATCATTAAGATACGTGGACTTTGAGGGCATGCACTGCGCCCAAAAGATGTTGCAATGTTGCAACGTTGACATTTTTTTTTATTTTCAGCTTCAACATACATTTATATAAATATGAATCTATATGCATTTGATCTAAATAGTAGTGGCACAAAATTCATTCTACAGCTGGGATCTAAACTATGCGCAATATTCATCGCTAGCCTAGCTATGTTTATATATATATATATATATAGTCTGGATACACTTACATACATATATACATATTCGTGTATGTATGGCAGCAAATTTAATGGCTGTGAAATTTATGTTCAACGATATTTGATTCCAAAAACAACTCAAACGCCAACGCATAGATGCGCTATATGGCAGCTATATTCGCTATTGGCATGCTCGAGCTGGCTATATACACATACACGTACAAATACGCATACATATGCACTTATATACAGCACATAGCCAATTGGATGTATTCGTTATGGAAATCTCTGGTTCGCCTGCTGTCTCAGTGTGTGCGTGTGCGCGTTTTGTTTATTCAACAAGTTTATGTTTCAGCCGCAAGAAGGCGACGCGGCAAGCGGCTGCCGACGGGGGTGGGCGGGGGCAACCCACCTGAAATTGTTACTGCTGCCAGGCTGGCACATACTCACACACGCACACACACACACGCGCACACACACACACGCACAAACACACACACACACAAGCTGTCGTCGTCGCCCACGCTACGCTTCGTCTCGAGCCGCCAGTCCATGCATAACTATGCGCTCCTGCGCCATGGTTGCCAAGTATTTCGTAGCTGAATGGCATCGTTGTCGTGGTGTGGTGTGCCTCTGTACACAGCCGCCCTCCCCACGTCCACCGACTACCGCCCACCACCACTTGTTGGCCATCGTTGGGGATCGCCAGTGGACCGGCATATAGCGCGCCTTTTCACGCCCGTTCGTTTAATGGCGTCAGCCAATATATATATTTGTCTGTGTGTATGCGTTTAGAGACCTTTGTCGTCTGTCTATGTCTGCGCATGTGTGTGTTTGTGTGTGTGTGTGTGTGTGTGTGTGTGTGTGTGAGCGTGCACTGGTAGTGGTGGGAAATGCTTTTCATTTTCCGCAAGCTGAAAAAATTCTTTAACATAACGTGTAGCATCGCTTTGGATCGTCAGTCTGTTTAGTCGAACCGCAGCATTCGCTCCTACAACGTCAGCTGCTCGGACTTTAGTTGAGAGTTCAATTTGTTTCTTTTTCCCTAAGTAAGTTGGCCAAGTGTGTTTAGCCAAAAGCCAAAAAAATTAAATAAAATCAAATAGTAATAATAAAAAACTGACAAGGTTTTCGAACAAACCTAAAACTTATCACAAATTTTGAACAAAGTCAAATGTAAATCCTTGCAAATTGAACTTATAAAACGCATAAGAAACTAAACACAAAAAAAAGGAAAGAACAAATAAGAAATCAGATTGCAAACAAATGTTCTTATATAATCTTGTGTATTTAGAAAATGATTTTTTTCTTATATTTTTTTTATACAATTTTTTTCTAAGTGAAAAAGACAGAAACAATTTACGAATGCAGTGTGTTTAAAAGAACAACATTAACGATTTCCCAATTGGAATTTGATTTTTAAATTAATTTTTTTTTACTGTTCTGCATTTTTTGAATCAAATTTTTTTGTTCAATGCCTGCAAAAGACTATAAATAATTGCCCTAGGGCGTATAACAACAACAACGACGACGACAACAACAACTACAATGCAACAACTACATATAAATCAGCAACAGCAGCAACAAGAACAACAACAACATAAGAAGAAGCAGCAGCAGCAACAACAGCAACAATAATCAGGAATACGAACAAAATCGAACAATCTCCGCATGAGACCGCTTTGAGAGCCACAGCCAAGTGTTATATGATCTAAAGAATTTGCTTTTTTTTTTGTATATTTTTTTTATTTTTTCGATCTACAAATTTTAAAAATAAGCTGTGCGCTTATATATGCTCATATGTGCGTGTGTGCCTGTGTGCGTGAGTGTGTGTGTGTGTGTGTCTTCTTACCTTGGCAAAATGGCCAACACTGACAAGCACACTGATACAGATACAGATACAACGATGTGTGTACGTTCCGACTGCGCAGGCGTCTCAAGCCAAGCAGACAATCCCACACCCACCCACGTACACGCACATACACACACACACACACACATACACACATATATATACACACAGTCCCACGCACATGTGATACAGTTACACATACATATAGGCATTCTCGCACTCATATCGGATATATCCAAATCGGTGCTGGAAAATTTCTAAATTTAGTGCACAGCACGAAAACGAAATATTCTTCTTCTTCTCCGTCTTCTTTTTAAATTAAGCAGATTGCTGTTATGTAGTTTCCAAATATTTTCCAATATGTGGCCAAAAGTACAGATTTTCAGTCTAGAAAGTTTGCTAGGAATCGAGAATTGAATTGAGAATAGCGAATTGAGAGATCAAGTTGAACCAGAGACGCAGCTTTGTATCAAACTCTTCAGGATTACATATAATGAATATACATTTATTATATTAATAGTGAGAAGAATTAGTAATGCGATAGATGTTATTCCCATAATATATCTGAAGGTTGATGCTTATGCTGGTAAATTGTTGTGAGCGGATAAACACCAAACACCAAACAGCCAATAATTCGATTTTCTAATCAGACGCTATGATATATGGTAAAATGCAGCTACTTGTTATTTATCAAGTATACGTATTGTATACCATCTAACTCTTTTCAATGTTTTCTCACAAGTTGTTGAACTTGCAGTTAAGTCAGTTTTATCATCACATACATACATTATACATGCATTTTTATTTTTATAAATGCAAGTATATATTCTGACCCAGTTTTTGCAACGCCCAAAAATGCATGAATATATACAATTTGTAGATTCACACACATAATCATTCTTTTAGCCGGACATCATTGCATATTGCTGTCAAAGTTTTTGACAAACGAATGTAACTTTTTTGACAGTTGCTCCTAGTTGAGTTTAGCCGAGTTTGGTTTTATTCAGTTTTGTGTGTTAGATGAAATTCAGCAGTGCCATTGATTTAGTGCCAAGGTACAAATCTGAACGACTCTCGATCGAAAGTCATCGGAAAAGCTCTTTAAGCGCTTCGCATAGTTTCGGTCGTCGTCAGGGAAATTCAATACGCGCATCTATTTTTAACATTTAGCTAGAAAGCCAAAGCATTTCACACAAATCTCAACACAAAAATTAAGCAAAATAAGACACAATTTTATATACACACGGTATATACATATACACTATATATATGTTATATATATATATATATATATATATATAAATATATATATATATGTATGCATGTATAATTTATAAATGAATGTGTGTATGTAAACATATACACAGGCAGCTAGACAGAGAAAAGAGTACATAAAATTAAATAACCGAATTTTGTAAGAGGCGCACAAATTATGATCAGATACAACATTGTCGCCAGCTATAAAAAAAATAAATATGGATCTGTATATATATATATGTATATATATATAAATATATATATATGTGTGTGTGTGTGTGTTTGTGCATATGAATGTGTGTGTCTTATGACAGCATACGGCCACAGATGTATGTATGCTGGTGTTGTATAGATACAGACACAGATACTGCCCTGTATAAATATGTGATGTCTAAATATAGCGCGATATCAAGGCGAAAACAACAATAACAACAACAAAAACAACAACAACAATAGGAGGAGGCTGTTGCTATTTTGGTTTTTGGCCATTGTTGTTGTCGCTGCTGCTGCGGTTGCTTCTGGCGTTGATGCATTTGACATTTGGCACATTACAAACAGTGAACAGTAGCATAACAACAGTGAACTACAGTAACTGTAACAGTAACGAAACATATCTCATCCAATAAATGACATTGACTAACGCGTCTTTTCCTTTCTGCTTTTTGTAGGTTTTTTCAATCCTAAACCGTAACCATGTCCGATGATGAGGAATACACGTAAGTACACGTCCTGGGCAGGCAACAGCAAACATATTAAGTATACGCCAAGGTGGTTACTATTTAATCATACTTCAGTTCAGTTCAGTTCAGTTCAGTCGTAAGTTAAAGTGTGCCTTTTGGTATATTTAAGATTATCGATCTAATCATAGAACTCCCAAATTGGGGAGCGGTTTTAGATTTCTCGACTCAATATGTATATTGTAAGCTGTAACTTCAACCTCGATTTGTTTAACTAAATCACATATACATAAATCTGAACACACCATGCACAGTTGTTTTTAGTTGTGTGTGTGTATATGTTAAGCATTGGGTGTTTACAATTTGTATTATTTTTATTTTTTGAATTTTTTATGGCACATGTTTGATTTGTATTCCTTTTTACACAAATTCTACTTTCATCACACACCCACCTGGACCCGAACCAAACCACAAACCACCAACCACCAAACAACAACCCAACCGAAACCCCAAACCATATGAATAATAACAATAATGAATAAATTATATGCCGGCAAACAACAACCGTTCCCGGCAACATTAATTCCCCAAAACCAAATGTTTGAATCAATCAACTGCTAATGTTGTCGTTTTGTCTCTCTCGAAATCAATAACAAACAACTTTAATACAACAACTCGTACAACTATTTTGCACATACACCAACCAATCGAACCAATCGAACCAAAATGCACCTGTGATATTGTTTTTTGCACAAAACCATACACGTAAATCGTTTAATTACGAACACGTCAGCAGTTCCGAGGAGGAGGAGGTTGTCGAGGAGACCAGAGAGGAGACGTAAGTATTTTTGTGGCCAAACTTAGCAGCTAAATGTCGATTGGTGTTTTTAACAATTATGATTTGATTATGATTTCATACAAAAAAAAATGAATGCTCTATATGTGTGTATTTTATATTTGTATTTGTATTTGTATTTGTATAAGTCCTCGTTTTTTATCTGTTATGCAAAAAAAAAATGTCAATGTGCATTCGTGAAAATTATCCCCCGTAGATTTTCCGTTTTGTGTGTTTGTCTGTGCTTAATTTAGCTTCCTTTTCATTTCCTTTTATCATTATCATTTTGTATATTTATTTGTTTTCTTTTTTGATTTATCGTTTTTGTTTTCAATGTTGTTGTACTCGTAATTAAATCGTATCCTATATAAATACATCAATTATTATTTGCTCAATTTGAACAAATCTTTTGTAAAAAAAAATGTACTGATACACATACCACACATCCACATAAGCAATGAAATCATGTCAAGAAATCACGAAAAAAAATTATAATAATAAAAATTTCAAAATACAAAATTATAACACATCCAACACATATTTCCCTGAACCCCATCCAAGCATCAGAGTAAATTCCAAATTCCAAACAACCATATTGGCAACCGTATGTACATATATAAAGCTATATTTATGTGTATCCCCCACCTATATTATTGCCTACCCCGCCACACCCCCTATTCCCAAAATTTAGTATTTATTTCAATATAAATATATATGTATATGTATTGTATTCGTATTTGTATTCGTACTTGTACTCGTAACATGTCTTTCCCTTTCCTATATAATTTGAAAAATGAATAAAACCATTCAAAATTTCTGAGAAAAAAAGGCAAAAGTAAATTCGTCTATCGCTAGCCTGGCTTCTTGTTCAACCAATTCAGAATTTAAGACATGGATAATTTTAAACCACAATTGTTTTTCTCTCTCTTTCTCCCCATTTCTCTGTTTCTCTTTCTTATTACAGGAAGTAAGTAATTGCGTTACCAAATCATATTCGTATATTTTTTTAAAGACCCGAAATGAATTCATAGGAAAATACATAGTGTGAGATATATATACATATATATATATATATGTATATTACATATATATATATATATATATACATATTTCATTGAATTTCAGAGCGGCTAGGATGCTGCAATAAAACAGATAAAATTTTGTCATCAGTTATTTTCTAGGAAGTTGTTTTAAAATTAAATCATAGTGCATCTGTGTGCAGTCCCGAAAAGAAATATGTGTAAATCCGGAATGTTCGAAACCCAAAACTGTCCTAGTCAGCATTTAGTTCAATTCGTTGCTCGAATACCATTTCCAAAAACAATTCCAAAAAGTTCGAAAAACCTTTCCATTAAATTTTGTACAAAGCACAGCAAAATTGTTTATTTTTGTATGCTCCGACAATAAAACATTCATTTGTGAACGGCACCAGTTCCAGTTTCAGTTTCAGTTTTGAATTTTGAACATTTGTATAAATAGCTTACAGTTCGTTGCTTGGAATTTAGTTTTAGAATTTACAATTTTCAACAACATGCCAGAAAACAACAAACTACAAATACGTACTTACCTTTAATTTATTATTTTTTTTTATACGTTTCATTGCAACATCAATAATTTTTTTTAAATAATTTTGTTTTAAACAAAAAATGTTTTTTTCTTTCTTTTCAAAAATTTTTTTGCTTGTATAAAAAAAATAAATATTTTTGTTACATGTAAAAAAAAAAAAACAAATCTCTCAACCCAACACGTGTTTTTGCGTACTTCATCGTGAATTTGTGCCAAACTATAAATAAAACCAAACAATTTTTGAAACACAAAACCACCAAATATATCAAAACCACCTCCATGTTTGCCTCACGTATAGAAAACCACCTCAGACACCAGCCGAGTAAGTTTATGCCATACGAAATGTGTACAAAATTGATATGTAAAATCTAACCCGTACTAAATTCTTAGTGATATATTAAGCAGCGCCATTATTATTATTATTACTATATATGTTAACCATACTGAATGCTAATCGAATACTCACCAAACTCACCATATGAATGTATGTGGTATGTATGCACTACTCACCACATACATCTAGTACATCTAGACCTAGTTGCATAGGTTACGTACTTTTGTATATAGATTACTTTTACTCAATATGTGCAATACTCATACACCCCATAATAATCTGTATAATATCTATAAAAATTTTAAATATGTTCTTGCCTTACTTTTTGCTTAGTGTAGTCTAAAAAAAAAGGCCGAGTGGCTGCAGCTGCCCAAGTTGGGTTATGAAGTCGCACTGTAGTTGATATTACTAACAATTAAATTGATCTAATGCTTATTAGAGATGGCAGCTAATTGTTAAGTTTTTAACCACTCCAAAAGCATATACATAAATTATGTACCATGTATTTATTTATGTACATATGTATGTACGAGTATACTTATATTAGCATAGCGTACAAGTTTTAATTATTTAAAAAATACATAATACTCAACAAAATTCAAAAGCAACTTGACTTCAATGTAATTAACTTTAGGCATAACTATCTAGATATACTAGTCGTACAGCTTAGTTAGTTTAGCCAGCTAAACTATTTATGATTTTTTGAGGTAATTACTAATTGTTTGTCTTGTTTGATGTGCTGTGCAGAGGTGAGGGCGATCCAGAGTTCATCAAGCGTCAGGATCAGAAGCGCTCCGATCTCGATGAACAGCTGAAAGAATACATCAGCGAATGGCGCAAACAGAGATCCAAGGAGGAGGATGAGCTGAAGAAACTGAAGGAGAAGCAGGCCAAGCGCAAGGTCACCCGTGCCGAGGAGGAGCAAAAGATGGCCCAACGCAAGAAGGAGGAAGAGGAGCGTCGTGTCCGTGAGGCTGAAGAGAAGAAGCAGCGCGAAATTGAAGAGAAGCGCATGCGTCTCGAGGAGGCCGAGAAGAAGCGCCAAGCCATGTTGCAGGCCATGAAGGACAAGGACAAGAAGGGACCCAACTTCACCATTGCCAAGAAGGAGACAGGCGTGGTAATTATATTAAATTCCATCTATGCAGCTTACTGATACACTTCCCCAACCCATTCTCGTATTTTCGTCGTTTCTACCTTTACTTTTTATGTATATCTCGTACTTTCTTCGATTCGTATCCGTTCGTTGCCATTTAAATTTTAATCTCATTTTACACACAAACCCATACACACACATACACACACCACAATCTTGCTAATCTATCATTTGCAATACATGTCTTTCACAATAAAACCGTACCTGTTCCACACGTACCACCGTAACCTGCGACCCCAAACTATAAATTGTTGTTGTTGTAAACCACATGAAAAACAAAACCAAACAATACAAAACAAAAAACAAACAAAAAAACACACAAAATAAACACACAACGAAATGTGTTATTTTAAAATGGAAAAAAATCGAAAATTGCACGCATATAGTTGGGACTGTCGTCCGCCGCCATGGAACGTAACAAGACTAAGGAACAATTGGAGGAGGAGAAGAAGATCTCGTTGTCGTTCCGCATTAAGCCCCTCGCTATCGAAGGCTTTGGCGAGCAGAAGCTGCGTGAGAAGGCCCAGGAACTGTGGGAGCTCATCGTCAAATTGGAAACTGAGAAGTATGACTTGGAAGAAAGGCAGAAGCGTCAGGACTACGATGTAAGTAAAAATAAAACAAAAACTGATAGAACGACTGTTAAAAATACGCTCACTTGCAGTTGAAAGAGCTGAAGGAAAGACAGAAGCAACAGCTCAGGCACAAAGCCTTGAAGAAGGGTCTCGACCCAGAAGCCTTGACTGGCAAATACCCGGTAAGCAATAAGCCCGTCCAGGCACATGTCTACGACTTGAGCAAATTTGACCGTATCTTCAATTTGATTACAGCCCAAGATTCAAGTCGCCTCCAAATATGAGAGACGTGTGGATACCCGCTCATATGACGACAAGAAGAAGCTCTTCGAGGGTGTAAGTATTCGGGTAGCCAGGGCTGATAATTTGCTTGGCCACAGGTTTCTTTTGCCAAACTCTAGCAAAACAATGGGTTGTTCTCTGTATTTTTTCTCTGTGTACTACCTATATAGGGCTATAATACGGTGTATGCGGAAACCATAGAAAAAACATGGCAAGAGAGACAGGAAAGGTTTACTCAGCGCACAAAATGTAAGCGCGCACAAAACAAGACTTTGCGCTCTCTTCAAACTAAATGTTTTATTTATGTTTATTATGTCAACATATGTCTTTTGTACGATTCTGTACTACTCGTACCTGCATACATACTCTGTTCAATGTTTACAAAGGCACCGCCAAAGTGACCAAAAATCTTCACCATTGTGTCAGTCAGTCAGTCAGTCAGTCAGTCGAACAGTCAGTCGAACAGTCAGTCAATCAGTCAGTATATAACGTCGACGTACTGGAATATTACTTATTGGGGGATCTATACACATTACCGTACATACATACAATGTAGCTAACGCTAATATCACACTTGACGTCTATTCTCTTTTATTTCTTTCTATGTCCTGTACACTATATATATATATTTTATAATTGTGAACTGTACTTGTGTGTTTTGAACTGTTTCGTCATACTTGCATAACCTTAAAAAAAACAAAAAACAAAAAAACATACACACAAACGCATACACTTTCGGAACACAGGGCTTCGATGAGATCAGCAAGGATTGTAACGAGAAGATCTGGAACGAGAAGAAGGAACAATACACCGGCCGTCAAAAATGTATGTAAATTGCCTAGCTATACACTTGGTACTGGTATTGTACCGCAGAATAGTGTACCCATTCTGGTGCAAGTGGGTAGTTACACAAATTGTAATTATTACTGTACCGTGGGGAAAACCAGAAAACACTATCAACAGTAATCATTCTGTTCATTGTCGTGCCATGTTTTCCATGTCTATATTGTATTATGTGTGTTTAATCACTGTAACGCGTATATATTCATTATGCTAATGTTGTACTACTTTTCCATATAGCCAAACTGCCAAAGTGGTTCGGCGAGCGACCAGGCAAGAAGGCCGGTGAGCCCGAGACACCTGAGGGTGAGGAGGATGCCAAGGCCGATGAGGACATCGCCGAGGATGAGGATGAGGTCGAGGAGGAGGTCGTCGAAGAAGAAGACGAGGAGGGCGAGGAAGAGGAAGAGGAGGAGGAAGAAGAGGAAGAGGAAGAGGAGGAAGAAGAGGAAGAGGAGGAAGAAGAAGAGGAGGAGGAAGAATAAATAAATAAATAAATTTTTTCGTAAAACTACATTTAAACAAAACCAAAGAAGAAAAAACCAATGCCAAAAAATTTTAATAAAAGTAAAAGAATGAACTAAATAGTTATTATTAGCTTATTCAAAATACTCCAAAAGAAGCAAATATGAAAAGTACCACTTTTTTTTATTGAACAAGAAATGTAAATTTCTTCCAAATAAAACATCAACAACACCAATTAAAAAACGTAAATTAACATAAATCAAGAAATTAAAGTGTCATACCATCATATCTATGAACAATTTATTTTGTTTGTGAGTGTATGCTGTAACACTGTTGTGGGTGATGAAGGGATGAAGACTGTCATACACTTACGTATGCCATCTGTGTTCAATCTTCAGGCATTGGACCAAATCTGCTACGCTGGGGCTCAGATAATAATTATCCGATTACTACGCACTGTGAGATGACTTGGCCAACCTCGCATATTATAAAAGGCTGGGGAAAACTTGAGTAAATTTTAGAGACCGATAAAAGGATCCAGTCTCTAAACATCGTCGCATTATGTAGACATGTACATATATATACATATATTAATTGAGTCCATGCGGTTTTTAGTAAAAAAAAAAACAGTTTGTTCTGTTCGGATGTTTTATTTCGACTGAATTTAAACTCTAGCTTATCATAATGAAACCTCGGACTGTTGATTGATATATATACATATATATATATTTCACAGGCTGTGCCTCGAGGCCGCAATTTCCAATTTCAGTTTCTCTCGCACTCATTTACCAAAAACTTTACACTATTTTTATTGAACGTCGAGAAAGAAAAAATACAATCAAAATAAATCAATTCAAAATAAAAATTTATTGTAAATATTTCAAAATTAGAATTAGAAAATAATAAAAAAGGTTATAACATTTTTTGGCGCTAAAAAAAAAAAATATTTAAGCTACTAGTAATCAAATATACACTGATGTGTGTCCATCAATTCAAGTTACAAGTGCACAAACTATTCGTATACCAAAATGTTTTTTTTTTAAGTCGATGGTCCTTCTACAGGTTGCTATTGCAGGTTGCTATTTAGGATAATATATGCACGCAGCAGGGACACAAACTAAGTGCTGCATTGCCTGAATTGCCCGTACGTAAAGAAAATTGAGGCATATTAGCACACAAACGGTGTGAAAAATGGCTTCAATTCGGCCATAACGTTGCATATATTCTAATCGAAATGCATTCAAGGATAATGGATTGTCTAAGAACCCAAGTATTTATGCAAATTTAGAACGAACGTCAAATGAGTCGAAATTACCAAATCGTTGTTGCCAGCCTGCTCTGAACGAAATGTTTGGCAAAGGAATCGCCAAGATCCGCAAGGATACGGTAGAGCTACGAGCATGTTCCTGTTTTGAAAAAGTTATTTTTTTCAAAAAAAATTTTCTTGAATCCTGGAAATCTTTGAGTGCTAATCGATGAAAGTCTTTCCTGTGAGCTTCCGCATGGCATGCGCATCCGTCAGGTGAATCTTTGATGATGTATGATGCGTAGCGAGATGCCAGCTGCAGCTCCAGCTGATGTACAAGCTGCCTGCCAATGATGCAGGAAGTATCCGATCCCTGATCAGGACTATATGCGATGATGGCGAACAGTAATAACACAGCTTGCATTTATTCCAAATCCACCTTATAAAAACCGAAAATGAAAAAATAAATGGCTAACGCATACATTTTTATGTTTAACTTTTATTTTATTTTTAAATTTTTATAATATATTTTAAATATTTTTTATTTTTGCTTTGTTGGATGTTGTTGTTGTCATTAATAAATATTGTACAATACGCTTATGTTATGTATTATTATGCATGTATGTATATATTTATCCATTTATTTAATACCCAATCCAATAGTTGATTTGATGTCAGAGTTATCGTATTGTAATTGGGCTTTCATTTTTAATTTTCGTTGGATCTCGCAGCGTGTGTTGGCAAACAGCTTAGTCATAATTATAATTTTGATAAACATACATATTATAAATTGGCTAACATTCAAAAGTAGTTGTGTATTGGGCTTTTAGTATTTGTAATTGAGCTTTGATTGTCTGTCAGCTGCTAGCACGCTGCTCCCCTCTCACCCATTTCTCAAGATGCGCATTTTACAATAACATTCACTTATGTGGTATATACATAGTCGTATTTTTCTTATTCTAAGATTTTCTTTTCTGTTCTTTTCTTTTTTTACCTGCAGCAACTGCCAACATATAATGTTAGGGTAAATATTTAAAACAAAATTTCCCCAAGGAGCTAATAAAAAATAGTTCACATTCACATTCACATAATCACTTTTCACATGCATACATAATTATAATAATAGTAATTATACGCGTGACCCAACTCTAATTTATACATACATCATTATATGCATGTATGTAATGAGAGTGAGGCATATAGCGACATTCGACGTTTTCCTCAGAATCAAACATCGATAATATTATTTCTGCTATGGTCTTTCGTTTTTGTTCTTTTTGTTTTGTTTTTTGTTTTTTTTTTGGTATGCATTTCGCAAATTCATTTATTTATTTATTGTCAGCAATTCTTTTTAACAATGCTCAAGAATAAAATAAGTAATTAAATATAAAGAAAAAAAACGTTAGAGGCTAAAGCTAACTGTAAGTACATGCTTTCATCCCTTCCGCAGAGACACAAGCATAAGCCACGCACACACGCACACACACACACACACACAAGTGGGGACGGACAGTAGTGCAACAATGTACGTGGGGCATATTCGCTTCTGCTAAAACAAAACGTTCATCAGATTTAATTTGATTTGATTTGAATTAAACTAAGCCTTATAACATCAACAGCTCTTCGATTTTAAGCCTACTCGCGTTTTTTGTTTACTTAATTTTAATTTTAAATTTAAAATGTCGCACAGACACACATGTACGTACATATGCACACACATATGTACGTATTCAACTATTACAACTTGAATTTACATTAGACATTTATATGTTAGTGTATATATAAGTATATCTGTTGTATGTATGTATATATATATTATAATTCACGAAGATAAATTCAGTCAATTATATTTAAAAAAAAAATATATGTAGCCTATTTTCGTATATATTTTGCACAATTTCAAGCTAAACTTCACATTGTAATTTTGTATACATACATACACACATGTATTCAAAAATATTTGAATTATTCACGCTAAAAGCTATTACAATTTTGTTTGTATGCCACTCTTAAACATTTGTATAGCTTTACAATCAGTAAAAAGCTAATTCTTGTGCTAAAAATGAAATCAACACATGAAGATAAATATAATTTGTGAACAAATCTAAAATTATACTTTGAGCTCTCAGCTAGAACTCTCAACGCTAAGAGCGCCGTCTCTCAATGCGGACACATTTAAAGCTTGAGATTCAGGGAATTATAAAAATTTGTTTATTTAACAAAAAAAAAAAAAAGAAAAAAGTATAGTACTTTATATGCATACTGTACAAACATTAAATTACATTTGTGACTTACAAGTAGAAAAAAAAGAGTAATAAACAATATTAAATGGACACAAGTCTCGAAAAAACGTTTATAAAAAACATTTTAAAATGGCCAAAGGCTATATAAATGTATGTAAATTTACTATTTAGTCGTTATAACAATAGTGTGGGTATAGTATTTAAGAGGAGCTGTGCAGTGAGCATCCTGCAACGAGTTGTTTTATTTGGTTAAAGTTGTTTCATTTTCTTTTTATTATTATTGGTGGTACATATTAATCATCTATAACTTATGTGTACACCAATAATATGTATGTGTATATGTAAAAGTGTAGTTGGTTGTATATATTGTGTCTTATATGCGGCAATCGTGTCAGAATTAGCTGGTTGATCGCTTTTCAAATTTGGTACTTAGTCCTGGTCACAACACATAACAGTTGAAAGCATCTTACATAACATAAATAACATGCCAATATATACATACATATACATGCATATGCATGTGCTTACTCTTGATAATACAATTTCAAATTGGTTAGCTAACATTTGATGGGTCTCTGTTGCTGTTTGCTATTAAAACTGCTGTTGCCGTTCTCCCGTTACCATTGTGTGTCGTCTCAATGTTTGCCACGCGGTAATCTTATCGGTATATGCGGATATCATGTGTCCTCCAGTGCACTGACATATTGCTTGCCATTGTTGTTGTTGTGGTTGTTGTTGTTATTGTTGCTGTTTTTGTAGCTAGGCGGCAGCTGCTTTATCGTTATGACATCCTTTGGCTTTTGTCTCTGCTGTTGTTGCCGATGCAGCAGCTGTGACTGCTCTGACTCCTGCCCCTGCTCCTGTTCGGGGTTCGCCCCCTGCTGTTGATTTTGTTGCTCTGGCATTAAATTATTGATATTAAACATGTTGTTATTTTTACTGTTGCTATTGTTGTTCTCAATATTATTATCCTCATTATTTTTATGAAAATTGTTGTTGTCCTCTGATTTGGTATCCATCTGCAGCACTTGCTTCGCTTTACTTTCCCACAGAATGCGGTTGGCTTTTAGCTATATACAAAATAAACAGGAATGAATCAGTTATGTTACAATATTAGCATATATATATGCATATAGTCATATTTTAGCCGACATGACGGTACTCGATATCATATACCATATACCATACAAATACCTACATACATACACATATACATACACACACGTATACGTATACGTATGAGTATCCTGCACATGCAAGCATAATTCGAGCACTTGCAATATTTGTTGTTTCCATTATCGTTCTTGTTATTCTGATTGTTGTTGTTATTGTTGTTGTTGTTCTTAGTATTATTGTTGTGATGTGCCATTGTAATAGCAGATTACACCCGCCAACTAACACACCCACAAAGCCGCCATATCACGTATGCAAACAGATGCATCATGAAGTGTAAATGCGATGCCGACATCGCCAGTATTTTGGCATAATTAATTACGCTCTTGCCACATCTGCGGCAATCGAAATAGACCAGGCTGCTTGCCATATTCAATTCAAGTTGAGTGCAAGCTTTAATCATCAATATTTGCATGGACATTTTTAATAATTTAACATAACATGCACTTCTGTCCAAGAATCATCAAAGATGGTTCGCTGACCTCTCTATGACGGGCAAATATATCGCACATAATAATTGTCAATCAGTTGAAAGGCTAATTAATCATGACGAGGGCTTTTAAGCACCGCCGACTTATAGCTTTTATCAAAGTTGCTCGTTCAATATATTTTTAATTGAATTTTTCATTCGTGCTTTATATTAAAATGCCAACAACATTGATTAAGTTTCTACCAACCTCGCTCAACACACATCGCTTCTGTTCCGCGGACAATAAAAAATAATGTCAATTTAATATGTTTGCAATTAACATAAATTATGTGCATAAAATAAAATTGGCAGCCTTTCAATTGATTATAAATGCCTTAAACATATCCACAAATCGATATGATGTTGTGTGAGTGTGGGTCTGTGAGTGTAAATGTGTGGCAGGCTAACTGTTTGGGGCATGTAGCCCAGGACTAATAACCACCATTTCAATTGCATGCAAATGTATATATAGACACACACACACACACACACACACATACATATATAAATATATGTGCACAAATGTATGAACACACAAATATTTACAGATAGCTGTGTCTCCTTTCTTGGCAATTTAAATTGGCATTTATGGCGTAATGCCACGCACACACACACACACACACGCACACACACACACACATTTTTTACAGTTTGTCTGACAGAAATTGCCGCAGTGAGAGCGAGCTGCCACGTGACAGCATCTAACGAAAAAAAATAAAATAAAATCAACGGTTCAGTCAAATGGAGTTGAACACAACGCTTTCAACCGCACCACCTGAATCACCTGCAGCTGGCAGCCAACCATCCAGCCATCCAACCAACCAACCAACCAACCAACCAACCAACCAACCGTTCGACCGTCCAACCGACCGAGCGTTAAGAGCCATGTAGCGGCAGCACCAACAAAAGCAACAACAGCTGCAGCTGCAGCAGCAACATCAACAGCAACAGCAACAGCAACAGCAGCAGCTGCTTGTCAGTTGTTTGCAAAATTTTAATTTATGAGCAGTCCTCGAGCAAATGTCGGCCACTTCAAGTTGTCAAGCTGAAGCGGGCGGCATGCACAACCAAACATCCTGCATCCAAAAGGATGCATCCAGCCCAACCCCCATTCCACTCTCGCACTGCCTGCACCACTCAGCACTCGACTTGACTCAGTTGAGCTGCTCTAATTAATTAGCCGCTAATTTAACGCGCCCATGGAAAACAGCAGCTGTGCAGCACTTCACACGACAGGATGTGCAATCCGAACTTTTTTTGTTTTTGCCTCGGGCTGCGGTTCCAGTTGCATGTAATTTATTATTTCGGCTCATAATGAACAGTTTCATTTCCACGCTGCAGAAAATGTTATTATTAAGCTTTTTAGATGTGCATATTAAAAGTCTCTCTGGGCTTTTCGAATTTGAATAATAAATGTGTATTTACAGTTTTTAGTTTTCAATCTACGCATTTGGCCCGAGGGTAAGTGTTGAATAAAACAACCCAATAACTAAATAACTACTGACAAATGAATTCACAGTTGCTAGTTTGTAAAGTAGGTCGTCTTCTTCTTTTTCGTTAAACAATTGTTTAAATATGTTTATTTATATATATTTTCATTTTTATGTGTGTTCTTAGATGCGTTGTGTGCCCAGCAGGAGAATGTATAATGCGCGACCCACTTTGCAACAGGCAGCAAATAAGCATGCAACCAAAGAAAGCTAAATTTATGTGTAGTCTTTGCTTTGTGTATACCACAGACACATTCATATGCAACTCTTTATTTTTGCAAGCTAAACGTGCCCCAAACCAACCAAATGCATCTTATATCCCAGGCATGGAGCCAACGTCATTATCAACGTGGTTATCAATATGGTTGCTTGTGCAACATCCACATATACATACACATATATGGCCCCCTTATTTGTCCCCCCTGTGTATGTGTGTGTGTGCGTGTGCCGCCCCAGGAAGCACAGCTTCAAAAACATCAACAACAAGAACAATACCAACAATGCCTTATGTAGTGGCTGAAACAAATAAAAATTTAAAAAAAAAAACAACACAAATACAAAACAAATAAATAAATATAAAAAAAATGCAAGAGTGCAAAAAAGGCGAGTGCAAGAAACAAACAAACGAAACAAAATAAAACAAAACCAAACACAAAATCAAGTGTAACAAGTAAGACGGCCAGACTAGCTAATATCGACTACATAGAGGAGTAAGAGAGTGAGATCTTGATGGACTAAGAGATATCTTAAAGCTTAAAAAAGATGATAAGGTAATGGAAAGCATATTAAATTTATATAAAAAAGATGAAGAATGATAAATAATGCATGGAAATTCGAGACGCCAACTAACAAATGGTAACATTGAATCGGGCTTGTATTTGAACAGACGAATGGTAACATTGAACAGGATATACAGATATACAGGATATACAGATGTCAGGGCATATGTGAAAGGGCAGAAATGTGAGAAACTGAGGATTTGGCCAACAATGCTGTAATCGTAGCCACAAAGCAAAAGTGCAAAATATGGCAATGACAGAAGCCAACAGAGAACGACAATGGCGACAACAACGACACCAAAAAACAACAACAACAGCTACAACTCTGGCTGGAGGGACAAGCACAAAAAGCGGAGCGCAACGAAATGACAACACAAAATGTTAACTGAAATGACAACAAAAAGGATGGGCGCCATTTTGAATGCTTTGGGAATATATCTGGACCGGGCATGGTAGAACGGATGTGGAAATGAGAACGGGAATGGGAATGGGAACGGGAATGCACATGCAGATGGACATGGAAATGGAAATGGGATTGGGTAAAGGTATCGGTTGACTGTTTTTATGTACATTGCGCCTGCTCGATTAACTATCTGCCTGTCTGTCTGTATGTATGTATGTCTGTCTGTCTGTCTGTCTGTCTGTCTGTCTGACTGTCTGTCTGTCTGCCTGCCTGCTTGACTATCGCCTGGCTGTCTGCCTGTTTGATTGTTTGTTGCACATACCTTAGATGTATTGTCCTGCACCCATGCATCTGGCTTACCGTAGTCCGGCGGATTCGCATACGGATCGTAGCCCAGCACGGAGAGCATGGGCGCAATGTCAGCCATATCGCGCACCACATCGACGGGTATCTGTCCCACCCACTTGGACAGCGCCTCAAGGTTGACGGGCTTGATTACCTGATCCGAGGACCGTTCCACTCTGCGCACGCATGAGCGGATTAGCAATAGAAAGGGGCACATTAAAGGTCCATTGAATTTATAAGGCAACCAGCAGCTGCTGTTGCTGCGGCTACTGAGGGGCATCAATTACTCACTTGGATAGCGGTACACCGTTGGGCTTATTGATGAACTCCTCATGATGCAGCACCGCCTCGTTCCATGGCACCTCCAAGAACTTTAAGATTTTGCGCATCCATTCCTCCGGATGCAGCACCAGCTGCTCATAATACACCTAGTACAATAAGATATGATTAGTTTTAGTCCGAATAATAATTAGTTGCTAGTTATCTAGTCAATTAGCTGATTATACATATGCATAATCGTAATTGTCTAAAGGATTTATCCTACGATCAATAACTTAATTACTTTCGAGAATAGATTAATTACTCTCACTTATCAGCAATTTCTATTGCTTTAATTAATTAGATAATCTAGTGAGGATACAACGACTCAACTCCTCAACTCCTCAACCCTTGCTGGGGACGGGATATCAGCTAGATGGAAACGACTCACCATCATGCAACGGTCCTTGCCAATGTCCCGGCACTGTTCGTGCATCAGCTCAATGGCGTGGTTCCATTTCTGCATGCACTGACGGTAGCTGGTCAAATCGAAGCCGGTGATTGTCACCTTGCGGGATATAATCGAATGAACCGTCGCCCGTCCATCTCGCACCATGAACAAGAATTTGGCCTGCGTATACCGACAATAGAAGAGTGAATATGTGTGTGCATGCGATACACTTTATGTACACTTCTACACTATATGTACATGCATGTGTGTGTGTGTGTGTGTCTGTGTGTGAATGTATGCTATATGTGGCTTACATTGGGAAATAGCTCGATTACATAGGAGCCCATTTTGAGCGTTAGCGGATCCTTGTTACATAAGCGCGGCGCCGGCTCGCCATGTTTCGCAATGATTTCCAAGCAGAACTGTGCTATGGCGCTGTTCATGACCTCCTTGGTGATGCCGGCCTCCTGCAGTCGCAGCGACTCCTTCTCGGACTTCAGCCAGTGCGAGCGTAGCTGCAAAATGCGCGGAATGACGCGCGTCTCCTGCCCGCAGCTAAATGGATGAGACATACAAAAGCGAATAAGCAAGGACGCGAAGGGCGGAAGGATGAAAGGAATGTGAATGTGAATGCGAATAGGTATGAGTATGAGGACGAGGACGAGGACGAGGACGAGAACAAGCACAAGAACGTTGAGCATGAGCATGAGGACGAGGATGCGAAGCCATGTTACAAAACAGCAGTGCACAACAATGATGTTTGACAGACCCTACCACCGCATCGTTGTCCGTTGCAGGCCTGGACCTTTGCTAATACAATCGACTAAATGGAAACGGATACGACTCTAGCCCACCAACATTGAAACGCTATACGTGGCAATTTTAGTTTGCCACTTTTTAGACCAGCATTCAGCCTTCGAAGTGTACGCAAACTTGTGAGCTTTACTTAGCGAACTATGTTGGCTTGCAGTTGAATTGCTTTTTTTGTATTTGGGGTCATTTAATTTGCAAATTAACAATGCACTGAAAATGATTGGGAACTGCGATTCAAGAAAAGTTGTGGCCCATGTCTAACTTTAGCAGAAGTTGATTACTTCTACTACAACTACAGAAACTCAGCGAATCCCAGTGAAACTTAAGCGAAATCGATTAAGTCGTCTAATGTGATTTCACTTTGGGTTTCACTTCGGTTCCACGATGGAAGTGCAATTAATTTCCAAATTTGCTAATTACATTGAATGGAATAACAGTTATGCATGCATCCAATCACTTTGAATAGCTGACGGATATCTAGTCTAAATACATAAAAAGTCGATGGGTCAATGAATAAATTGCTAAATACATAATATGATAGCATACTTTTGGGCGTAACAGCATTGTATTGTTGAAAGAATACGCAACTTTATATAATATAGCTATAGATATATATATATATATAGCTCAAATCAGAACTATATTTCTGATTATTCTGAATCTTTTGCGCTAACAGGATCGAACAAGATCGAAGAAGAATTAAGACAGTTTTTTATACATTTTAGAATGTGAACTTTGTGGCCTGATTTTTTGATGACGATCTAGAGTGTACCCTCGCCAGTCGCAATCCTATATCCAATTTTATGATTCACTCATTTGCTCGAAATTCACAGAGGAGCATTTAAGTTTAATGGCAATGTGGCTCCATAGAAATTTCTCAACTTGCATGGCCTTTGAGAGCATGATTCTCATAGTTTCCACACTCTTTCGGCTAACTGAAGCTAGACAAAGGCGGCATATATATATACATACATATATAAATGTATATGTATATAATATATAAATATATATATATAATCTTGGAGCAATTACATGCGCGTGGCTTATATGCAAATCGGACGAACAAAAGCTAACGAGGCCAGCGCAAAAAAACAGTGCTGGAATAGGTACATATATTTTTAGCACACACACACACACACACAGACACAGATACACGAATCTTTTCATGTATTTGTAGCTGCATTTATATATAGCTTTTGGTACAAGTTTAACTATATGCGTCCCTGGCTCTTGCTTGGGTCGGAAGTAAGTTTTTAAATAGCGGAAATTGTGCAGCCATCAGAAAAAGTGGCGCTGAATTCTGTCAGCAGTCATGAACCAGGACGCAGGAGCCAGGAACCAGGAAGCAATAGCCAAGCACAAGTCAGTAGCTACGACTCGACAGACAAGAATCAGTACTGTAAAAAATGCAAATTGCTATTAAAATAAGCAGACAAAACAAATAACGCCCACCAATTGCTTGCGCACTCGTCTCTTTCAATCCACCTCTCTCTAAGGATTTTCTTGCACCTCACCTGTGTGGAGGACGTCGTGGCTGATTACTCATGCGTAACGAAAACTAATCTAACTCAGAGTGTAACTGGAGCCCACAAACATGCGAATAACCCCGCCACACGGACGCCTTCAGCCTAAATGGACCCATCCATCATGTCATGTGATAAACATGCTTCGAATATGAGCTAACCATGTTGTCTTATGGCGTTTCCACCCATGTCGGCTCACGTCTATCAATTGAGTTTGTATTATGAACATTATGTACACTTATCCTGGGCACGCGAAATCTACATTTAATTATTTTTGAATAAAACCAGCGATTATTGGATTCAACTCAAAATACTCGCTGCCAGTGTTTCTGACTCGGATAGCTTTGTAAACGTAAACAACAAATCAGCTTTTGCATACATACATCCAAATTTACATCACATTTCAAATGGCGCAATCGATTTCAAATGTATAGCTTCTTATTTTGTAATTAATTGCAGGCTCAGAATATAATTCAAAGAAACCCAGAAAAATGTTCTAGTTTTTTTAAATAATTTCTAATTACACGGAATAAAAATTCTTCAAATAGAAAGTCTTTTTTTATGAGAATTACATTTCTCAATGATAGCAAATATTTCAAAAAAGTAAAAATTGTAAGGAAATTTGCTCTCTCGACAGCTATGAGATTAGCTGCCGTCTCGGGTCTGAATCGTCGTCGAATCTTAAATTAAATTGAATGTGTTTATAAACTATTTAAAATGTGAAAACTTGAACTATAATTAGAAACTTCCGTATTGCAAAGAGGCTTTCTAAATAATAAGATAAGATACGATTCTAAGTTTTCTTTTTCCGAATGTACTATGATTGTAGAATCTGTGTGGAAAGCAAAGCTTTGACAACTGTATACTTTATGTAGATGCAAACGATATAATTACGCCGTATATATATATATATATCAACTTTAATTCATTTTACTCTACGCAAATGAGCATCTGGTTTAAATGGCTTCAACAAACTTTGGATAATCTGTAAAGCCTGACCTGTTGACTTCAACTGTTTTGCCTTAAAGTGAAATGTGGCCAGTAGCGTGGTTGCATGCAAATGCTTGTATGCTTGAGTGGGTACGTGTTGGGGTAAGGACACACCGTGGCAAACTTACCGCACATCGGGATGAGCATCCAACATGGCGCGCATTAATGTCGTACCAGATCTGGGCACACCGCCTATGAATATTAATGGCATCTCACGGTTGTATGAATAAACGCGCTGATTGTCATCTGTGACGTATTTCTGGGCCGTATACAACCAGAAACCAGGTGGTGAAAGCAAAAAATGGAAAGAAAAAAGAAATTAAATTAAATTAGAGAAAAGTTGCTGGTAAAAATTACGTGTTTCCACGATGATAATGATCATAATTATGGGGCGAACGGATGAGGGATGAGCGATGAGGGGCTGCCTGGATGTCAGGCAAGTGACGCTGATGCCAACTGAATTTGCATGGACCAAAAGTTGTCGCATACACACGAAAAATAGACTGTTGCGTATGTGTATGTGTGTGTGTTTGTGCATGTGTGTGTCTGTGTGTGCGTCTGTGCATGTGTGTGTGTGTGTGTATTGGTAACAGAAGCCCGTTAACCTTTTGCGTGCCTGTCGCATTAATGTCAATTTAAAGGATTTTCCTGCGCAGTTTGAAAAATGGCTTGAGAAAAGCGTTAAACTCAAGAGTCTAAGCCCATAATATCAGCTGCTTAAAATTGCTGAATCATTGTGGGCAATATATGCGTGAAATTATATTACAAAAAAAAGAACATACTTTTTTGTCGCTTAGCGATTTGCCAATTGGTTATCTCTGTGGTATCTTCCACATTTTGGGCTTCAGTTAGCATTTAAAATCGATTCGATAAGGGGAAGCGCTATCTGACACAAGCACACACACATCCATATATATATATATATATATATATATATATATATATATATATATATATACATATGCTTTGGACTTATCGGATGACCGCTGTGATGTGATAAGAATGCGACAAGCGCAAACACAGAAAGTGGCCTAATAATGAATTATTGATTTGGGCAATTAGAAATTGGGGCAAATGTTACGTTGTGGTTACATTGAAAGGCTTAAGCTATTTAGGAGCAACGAGTGCGGTTCAGTTAGTTCAGCCATACTTTAAATATAAATGTAGTAAGTATGATCAAGGCATAGGCTAACATCAATCTAACCGCTAGCCACCAGCACCACTGCTACAATCTTTTTGTTTTTGTATTTAGAGAATGATGTTCAGCCATCCGATAACCAGCAAAATCCCCAATGACTTGCGGTCAGGTCAGCGTGTGCAGTCAACATGAAATTAGTTATCCTCTCCTTTGGGCTTATATAGAGGCGACACATAAATGCTGAGACTGTTGCTGCTGCTTGGGATTGTTGTTGGCGTTGCTCTTGCCACACTTTGATTTATCATCTGCAATCGTCGCCTGGCAACTGGTCCCTTCTAAATACGTTCATACCCACAAGTGTAAATACTCTAGTTGAGTTCCGTTCTGTTCATGTGTTTGTGTGTGTGTTTGTGTGTGTGTGTGTGATTGGATGTGTGATATATTGCATCTATATATATATGTATATAGTATGTATATGTATGCTTATGTATTTTCTTACCTCCATGCGCACCATTTGCGATGACATATCGTTTGTGGCATCCACTTTGAATAGGCAGGTGGGGCGCAGCTCGGTGAATTTGAATAGGAACATGGTGACGACAATTATGCCGAATAACACCCAAAGGGTGACCTTCTTGTTGCGGTATGGCAGACGCATCTTGTGAGTCGCTTGCTGATTTGTTGCTTTGCTGCTTGCGGCCAACTGAGGTGTGAAGCTAACTGCTTTTTGATTTCAATCAGCAAACTGTTGAAGTCCAGCTCCAGTGCGCTCCACGTGTCTATTTGCTTTGCCCTATTGATTCGACTGACTAACTGACTGACAGCAATGAGTCCGTTTGGCAGACTGACTTCCTTAGCAGAATAGCAGCCGCTGCCGGACGTTACACAGCTTAAGTATGCAAATTGGTTTCTTTTTTTTTCTCTTTTTTTTTTTTTGAGCTGCAGCCGACAGGCGCCTATGAGATTTAGTTTGCTTTCTTGAACAGTTGCTGCTTCTATTTGCACTTGGCTTGCTTTGACTGGCTTTGGGTTGCGGCTATTGCTGTTCCGGTTAAAGTCACGGCTTCTTGTGTTTTACTTATTGTTGTTGCAGATTACCACGGCAATATGATTGCGTCTTTGGAGCATCCACTCTTCTCCGGCTGCTGCTGCTGCTGCAGCTGTTTCAAATCCTGTTCCTGCTCCTTCTGCTGTTCCTGACGTTTGTTTATGACGTTGATTGCTTTGCATTTCCTCGACCTTATCTGCCTTTGTCCATCCTCACGCCCACTCAGCGTCCCATTGGGGTCAGCATGACCATCTGCCAGCAGCAACTAACACTCTGACTTCAATTTCAACACTCAACTACAAATGCGCAAACAGCTGTGCCCTGTGCAGGGGTTTATCGTTTACGTTGCTTCTCTGCTATCTGTTTTCTGGGCTGCGTTGTTTTTTATTGCATTTTAAACATATTTACTTAAGCAAATTATGTTTTATATTACCGCCACAGTGCGTGTGTAGGGTGGGGAGGCATTTGCTTCAGGATCTGGCTGCCTAGATGAAACTTCAAATATCTCTCTCTCTTTTTTTATCTGTCTTCAACTTTCTGACTAGCTTTGCCTCATTCACTCTCTCTTTTGGATTCGCTTTTTGTGCGTTTCTGTCGCCGTCTCTGCAAAAGTAAAAAACTTCAGTCATAAGCATATTTAAATACTTTTCAAATTATTTGTAACGGCTGCTGCCTCAGGCTCGACTTTAGCAATGCTTACATGGTTCTCAGTGTTCCGCAGCAGTACTTTCCGGCACTCTTGACGACCCTCGACTGATAGCAGCGACTGCCTTCGAGTGACTACGCACCTTTTGAAACTGCAGCGGCAGCTCGATGACTCGCAGGTGCAAGCTGTCAGCTGCCAGCTGCCAGCTTCCAGCTTCCAACTCCCAAAACCCAACACCCAAATTCTCAACCACAATTCCAATTACAATTTAAATTTTGATTGTGACTCCTCTTCAGGCTGCTGTCAGGCGACTAGTGCTGTTATTGTTGTCAGGTAATGTTGGTTATTTGCTCAGTTGTTCACGAATAGCTGCCAGCCCAAAAACTTAATGAGCTGAAATGCCAAATAGACTGGAACCAATGTTAGTGATATGTACACATAATAGCTCCAATTGCCAGTTATTTCCTCCGTCATAGCTGTGAAAGCAGAAATAGAAATAGACAAAATTAAGAACTATTAGTACAAATGTCAGTATACAAATAATCAAACAAAAGCCAAAAAACTACTTTGATGGTAGGCAACACACAGCAGATAGCAAACACTACACCACATACGCACACTCGCACACACACACACACACACTCCACATGGAGCTGCAAACAAAGTCAAACATCTTGAAATATTTGCCCAATGAAAAATTGTTTTGTATACAGTATATGCTTTTCAATGTGTGTGTGTGTAAATAATGTGAAACATATTTATTACGTTTGCTAGGAATATTTGATTAGAAACATCTATAAATTCTTTCTACATAATGCACACATAGTGTGTTATTTGCCACATGGACGTGACTTGTGGCAAACATTCCACGGATCGCTTAAGCTGCTTACAGCATACGGCTTACTGCTCACAACCCCACCGCCACTCCCAGTACCACTCCCGCTCCCTGGTGACAGGAGCTGTGTGCAGTGTTCGTCATTCAAGTGCTCAAGTGTCGACCATATAGTGGCCATATACTTAGTTAAGTGCATGATGTTGGCGCGACATTCGTCACAGCATCTGCTCCGGCACTGACTTTGCCTCTTACACTGACTGGGTGGTTCGGTGGCTTGGAGAAGCGTGGATAGCTCCGGTGAAAGGCAGCACTTGACGCTAACATGCTCAGTTAAAGTTGCACAGCTTACAAAATTGAACCGTAAGCATTTCGTTACAAAAAATTTACGCTAAATTTCGTAGCTTTTCAAAAAAGGAAAAAAAGTAGACTTCCTTCCGGTAACAATAATAGCACTGTAATTAATCAAAGAAAGAACCTTCTTGCTGGCATGCTTGGAGGCGTTGTTTTGTGGCAAGACTCGCAATAAGTATATTTGATTATCGGTTGGCTATCACATATACCTAAGCGATTTATTATTATATTATTTTATAGAACATTGTTAGATGCGATGCACGATTGAGATAATTCAACCAAATAAGTAGAAAATAATGCAAAGGAGCACACACAAAAGTTGTAGAATATAATAAGATGGTTTAAACAGACTTACGTTGTAGCAAAAAGAAGATACTAAAAACGTATTTATGAAAGTCTTTTCAACAAAATTGCTAAAAGAAAAGCTGTTAAATTTGTTTACCAAATTCTACAACTTTACATATTTACAAGGTAAATTGAATTTTATCTTCATGAATAAGTACTTGCACAGTAGCTATTTGCATTCTTTACTGCTTTTCGGCTGTCAACTGAATAAAGTTCTAAGTATGCAATTCTTATCACTTTCTAAGAGCAACAAGCTTAGAATATTTAATCTTTTAATTGCATAACTTTTAAGAAACATACTTTTTACAGACTCTTTTCTGAGTTTTTTTTTTTGTATATTTTTCATATTATATTATATATTATATATTTTTTTTATTTTGTTTTCTCAACTTCATTTTTGGAACATTTTGCAAAGGTTTATTTCAAGATAAACTTATTATGAAAGCATCCAATTTGTTACATTTTTTGCACCTTATCTGCGGTGCCCTTTTTCCTGATTACACACATACGCTTTAGCGTGCGTGTGACGGCTTCACTTCACTTGTTGGACACTCCCAAAGCAACTCAAACTACTTCCGGACCAACAACAAGTTTGTGGTCTGCTGTGCGCCGTCGTCCTTTTGAAGTCATGAGTGCGTGTGTTTGTGTACACACACATGACATACTATTACACAGATGACAGAAGGTCCCTGTTCATATACTTCCTTGACAAAATAATATAAATAAAAATTGTGCTTTGGCCATATTTTGCATGACATTACGACGCTTATACGTTTCCATGGAAACCCAAAATGCATACAGCAATACCCTGGCCACAGTTTTGACCTCTTCGTGTCTCTCCTCTCGCTCCGGTCCCTTTTTGGATCCCTGTCTCAGTCAGAGCATCGCCCAAAGAGCCTCAAAAGTTTTTCGACTAGAAATACTAGACCAATATAACCGCCCCATGCCACATGCCCCTTCTGCCTCTGTCCCTACTTCCCTCCCAGGGGGCAGCGCACAAAATATGAGCCAACAACAACAACAAAATACAAGTTGAATATTTGTTTGAAGAGGTGCCTTACAGCTACCAGCTCTTTTTTCATCCAACCCCGCCCGCCACCAAACGATACAACTACTTTTCAATAGTCAGTATGGTATAGACATGGGCTTGTGTGTGCTTTTCTGTGTGTTGCTGTTGGCGAATGGTAAACACGATGGAACCTTACAAAAGGCAGAATCGTTGGTGTTGTTGTTGTTTCTGTTGTATGCACTGCTATTGTTGTTGTTGTTCATCGCTCATGCTGCTGGTGGTTTGCTCAAGTGTCGGACAAAGTCTTGTAAAAATTAATAAGCGTGTAAATTTGATTGTATTGCCAAACAGCAGTCCAGTCTTACAAGCTCACACATACTACAGCCACATATGCGCCATAAAACACACACTCACACACACACACACACTCACACAGACGAGCATACCCACATTTAGTTTTATGCATGTGAAGAGTTTTGTTTTATTTGATGGGTTTTCGTCTAGCACTTTTCTTTTTGTGTTTTTTTGTTCCTCCCCAACTTAAGCTTAATGGCATCGCATTTTGTGTGTGGCCCTTATCACAGTGTCTCGCAAATGTACTGAACTTATCTAATGTTTAATACGATATATATACTTTGAATCCATGAGAAAGCAAGATCGATTAAGATAGAACAGAGAGATAGAGAGAGAGAGAGAGAGCATATAAGCGAGTGAGAGAGCCAAGACTTAAATCTTACAAGAATATCATGAGTATCGCAAGATAAAAACGAGTTTCAAAGTCAATTGAGTTATTCACGGCTGATACGTTTTTGCTTTCAGTTTAAGATTATAATATTAGTATAGTTGTTAATACTTGTATCATTATGGGCATAAAATCTCAGTTCTGAGTAGTGCATTTGAATGATATTTTACTGTTTCAACTTAAATTATTAAACACCTTAAGCACGATTAAGTTAAGTAAGTTGTTACTTTTTTGATTTCAGTAGCTCTTATGGCATTTCATTGAATAAAAGAGGCACCACTGTGCCGGCAATAGCTGGCGCTAGTTCTCACGCTTGTTGCGCTCGGTGCGTTGGCGGGGACGTTTGCGACAGTTTAAGTTGGAAGCTTTTGTTTCACAAAAAAATCTGCATAAATAATGTTGCGCCACGCTTGGGGGCTGCAGCCGGGAAGTGTTGATGATTTGATGGCGAATACGGAATGCTGTGCCGGAACGTAAAGTGCCTTAATGGCAGTCTAAAGACCTTGTTCTAAATTGCAGTTGGAGCGCTTTGAAGGCTTCCAGCGGCGCAGCGAACCGAATCGCTGCCTTTGAGCGCTGGACTCTCCGGCTCGCTCTCTCTCTCTCTCTCTGTCTCTATGTCTTATTCTGTAGCTATCTGTATTGTTTTGTGGCTTTTTTTTTGTTAGGTTTGTCTAACTAAGCGCGGCTGGCTGGTTAGTATTTAGCAACTGGCGCAACGACAGCTCATTTATCAGCACGTCGCTCATATTATAAATTACTTGGACAGTATGCACGACGTGCAGCAGCTGTTTGCCGTAGCCGCAGCCTCAGTCCCAGTGTTATCTGGCCTGGCTTGGCCAGACCTATGGGAATTCGCCCTTCAATACGCCGTTAAGCGCAGCGAGTGAGGGAGTGAGAGAGAGACAGAGATAGCGTCAAGCTTACAGAACTTACAGTACTCGATGGATGCCAGCGAATCCACAGTGCGCACTCCACCACGTTTGCACAGTGAAGCGTGCCGAGTTTTTAAAGTGAATGAGTCGAAAGTTCGAGGCAGCAATGTGTTAATTAAAACTGAACGTTTCAGCGCATACACGATGCCACGAATGAGAATAAGAACAGCAATCCAACCTCGTTGGATGTTGAGTAAAATGTTATAATTCAATTTGTTATGTCAACCATGGTGGAAATGGTTGCTTACGCCCCTCTCCAGCACAGGTTCGATGCTCGATATTGATTGAGAAATGGAATTAGACAGTGCATTGAACTTGGCGGGCAAGTGAGATATGTTCTGCTTGAGTACTGATTGCAACAGGAGGGAGAGAGAGCGAGAGTGTGCGTCCGTGTGGGAAAGAGAGAGAGAGAGAGCCAGAGAGAGAGGGAGAGAGAGAGAGACAGCACTTGTTAGTCTATGTACTCATTTAGTGGTTTAGCCTGACAAGCCAAATGCAGATCAATCAAGACAATTTGAGTACCTGTCAGCTCTTAAGTAAACTATCCGCAGTACCAAGTTGATAGCATAATAATATTATAATTAAAATGGCAATTAAGTAATAATAATAATAATTATTATAATCATATTAGTAAGATTAGGTAATACCATCTGATATCAGGTGTAGCCAAGAAATACTGATCTATCCTAATCTACCCTCCAGATTAGCATTCCAAATTGCGATACAGTTACAGACTTTTATGAATTTTTTGGAGCAGGATTGTGCGTGGCCGAAAAAACAAATTTTGGGGGAGTTTCCCCATCACCCACCTTGCAAGTTCGATGACTCTAGCTTTTAAATTGCCAGAGATGAAGCGGGAGTGGGCGTGTCAGAAAAAAAAAATATTAGATAAGGTTCCTAGTAATCTGCCTTCCAAGTTTGGTAACTGTAGCTCTTAAATTATACTTTCAGAAATATCGTGGGCGTGGCCATATAATTTGTATCGACACTTCAAGGCGTGGCCATACAATTTTTATTGATACTTAAAGGCAGTAATGTACCTTTAAAATTTGATGGCTCTAGCTCAAAAAATTCGAAAGATATAGTCATTTCCGATTTTGAGTGGCGGTGGTCCTGATGGCGGAAGAGGTGGACATTTCTTATCCTTCTAGCTCCAGCTTTAATGGTGTATCAGAGTATAAAAATAATAACAGTATGGTAACGTTACTACCAACAACTTAAATCACTATTGCGATTTTAATATATGTATATATATAT